ACTGTATACATGTCATCATCCACTGTCTCTACACAGTATACGTCATCATCCCACTGTCTCTACATGTCATCATCCCACTGTATACATGTCATCATCCCACTGTCTCTACACAGTATACATGTCATCATCCCACTGTCTCTACTACACAGTATACATGTCATCATCCCACTGTCTCTATACAGTATGCGTCATCATCCCACTGTCTCACTGTCTCCCACTGTCTCTATACATGTCATCATCCCACTGTCTCTATACAGTATACACGTCATCTTCCCACTGTCCCGACACAGTATACATGTCATCATCCCACTGTCTCTTCACAGTATACATTAGAATCTAGTGAATATTCCAACTATATGACAGTGGTCTGTAAATAATCGAGTCCGGACCAGACAATCCAGTGATTGACAACGTAAGCATCAATCTACACACTTGGGATACGATGACATGTGTCAACAAAGTCAGCAATCAAAAACCACAAGAATCCAAGCTTTCACTTGGAAACAAACTTGAATGAAACAAAACTCTATATCATCATAATGTGAGAATGTTTCCATATGCTTGATTGGCATTTTAGAAGATGCTATTTGATGAACATGAAGAATTTTCTGGATTTTATTCTCTTATTCTGAATATTCTTTATGTTCATCAATGTTTCCATAATTTTGGATTATTTGGGAATAAATCTCACAAGCTGAAAAGGTGAAAACCCATTAACCATTTGTTGTATATGTAACGTAACATCTAATTAGTACTAACAGTCTTGTTTCACCAAACTCCACATCCCATGGGCATACACAGACACTGGGCACTATGATAAGTCAGCTGTATATGAAGGTAAATGTGTAGCATGGACACTCAGCTGTAACAAGCACATCTATAAAGTCTTGCTAATCATTTACATGACTAAGAACACATTTCAGTAATGAACTTTGGAGTATAGTCATTGTAATATCATATAGTTGGCAGTTTCGACAGCTCAATATTTCCATCATTTCTTGCATAGGGTGTAAACGAAGACTAGTTGAAATGTTTGTAAATCTTGGGAAGAATGCTGTGTTAGATGTACTATGTACAGCAAAATGCAGTACAGAATATCTGCCTGCCAGTTATCCTGTGTCTAGTGACATCTAGATGGACTACCTGTTATTTCTGTCTCCTATTCTGTCTCCATACAAACACCTTTCAAGTGGTGAAATTATTCTCAACCAATCTGAATTTCAGTTACAAATTTTACAAACACTTCTCACACCGGTGAAAACTATGGTCACCTTGTGTTTGATATAAAGCATAGTCATCATTGGCACTGTTGACTGCATCTTGGTTTAAAACACTTGGACAATAATGCTTCCATCTTCTCGCTTACCTTTCAAGGTAGACAACCATAGTCAAAACTGTGCACTCTCTTCTCACAAAAGTGCACAAGTAGTTCACAGTAGCATAACAGTAAGTTCAATCGAAATCCAATTTGAACAGCAGTTAAATGATAGAACTTTGTGTCAGCTGGACTTGGGAGGAAGACAATGCAGGTCGTATAGGGAGACAACTCTACACCATGTGATGCAGCATCTCAAACAGCTGGGCCAGCCATGCACCTGGTAGTGTTTACAGGGACATGGTGTCAAATATCACAACCAAACAGGGTGGTCCTCTCTGTCCACCATAGTACTGGGTCATACGGGCAGTCATACATGTAGTCATACAGGCAGTCATACTGTGCAAGGGGTTTTCCCAATTGCATGTGACCCTGTCTGTTTGTTGTCTAATGCCACACTCAGCAATATTCCAGCTATATGCTGGCTAGTGATGGGAATTGGTTAAAATCTCATAACTGATTATTGGTTCATTACAACTGTTCAATCAATGAAAATAATTGATAAGCATCATTGAGCATATTTTCCCGTTATGTTAACGCACACACCCCAAAAAGATGAAAAAAAATGTAGTTGTTTGAGTGTTTTTGCAAATTGAACAAAATGCATTTGTAAATTTCACATATTTAAATTTCCTGGAGTCTTTAAAATAAATTATATCATGACTTGGAACGAGCTTGTAGTGCTTATGAAATGTAACAGACAAAACCAACCTTGTGAAACATATTGTTAAGGCAAACAAGTGTTTCAAAATTGTTTGAGTTCGATTATGAGAAAACATGATGAGTTGTTTGGTCATTTAGTCACTGCGACCAATCTTCGATTATTTTAATTAATCGGACCACCATTAATGGCGGCAATATAATTGCAAGTGATCTATACAGAATAGTACTGTTAATATTTACTTGTCTGACTAGATACATTTTGACAGAGTTAAAAGCTAATGTCGCACAGGTTAGAGCCATAACACAATTAACTCTTAATTACAAAATATGTCATCAAAACATTGAATTATATATATCACATTTGTCTCATAGATAACCTGTTTACCATAACAAAACACATTTTGTGACTACATAAGGCTGTAATGTTGACATGTTGGTTACAGGAAAAATCGTGTTAGAGTACTGGAGTATGGAAGTAATATGACAGCACACTACCATCCCAAGGAGCTATTTCCACTGTTGGAGCTATTTCCACTATTCAAGATATGTGACAAATTATTAAGTGGGCATTGAAGAAATGTTTTACATGGATTTCTGGTTATAAAATGGCTATTCAAGATATGTGACAAAAGGTTTCAGGGTATAAAAGAAATGTTTTACATGGATTTCTGGGTAATAAGTGGCTATTCAAGATATGTGACAATTTTCTATAAATTTACATTTTCTATGCCAGTTATTTTGCAGGTTGCTGAGAGAGCAGAAAACATACATAAAAATATACGACAATCTGACTATTGCCTTCTACAGTATATATGATATAAACGGCATGTAAAAGGTACACAAACACCAAATGATTACATTCTCAAATATCCTACTATAAAGCACACAGTTTAGGTAATAAGCATCACAGTATAACACTGGTCGGAATAACTGTGGCCTCAGATTTTTTAGCTCTTTTTTAGGCCAGACCAATTGTATTTCTTGTTTTATGGATTTTTGTCATCAGAAAACCTAAAGGCAGGAGGGAAATAAAAATTGAAAAAACACCAGTCACAGTAATATTCCTTTTAAATACTAAGAGTATTTTACACTTGGCAATTTATGAAGTGTATATGGGACAAAAAGCAATCGTAAAAACATTTCTTGTAAGTTTACATTTTTGGCCAATAAAAACATTAGGATTTTAATTTTGTGCGCGGAAAATTAATTTTGACTTTTATCTTATTCTTGAAAATATACCTGCGGATCCATAAAAATAAATAATAAAATTGATCTCGCCTTAACAGATTTCACAGATAAACTCAGAGGTGAAAACAAACTAACTTTTCTACGATCCCCGATATGTGTTGTTACACTTGACATAGCACTGGTTCTGATTATCATCTGATTGGCCAAACCAAGGAGACAGCTAGATGACAACAGTCTTTCCAACTGGTTTTCATCCACACTTTATCACTAGATCGAGTATTTGTTTCTTTTGGTTGAGCATTAAAGGTAGTTGGATTGAATAGCATAATCCATGTTAATAATACTGTCAACTTGCCAGTTTTCTCTGGTACATGTTACCCAAGTCACACACATTGTCCTATTGGTCCGGAGGAGGGGAATTATGCCGGATACTGTTCTATACACTATTTATAACAGTGCTGTTCCAGGTCAAGTAGCTTGACTATTATATACATGCCCTGGCCATGGGTTGGTTTACATGAATAGACCACCACACATATATCAACTATCTGTGGAACTGAAATATTTGGCTGTTAAAGATAGGGTCTTGTAACAGTATCGGGACAAGAGGGAAGTGTTGCAGGAAAAACAGCGTTTGGCTTTACATCATTCCATGTTCTAATAACTCTCATTAAGTTAGCTGAATATGTTTGTAATGCACATATTGAAAGTTTTGCATTCATATCAGACTAAACAGAGTTACCTCCCTTACACCTCAAGCCATTTTACCCTGAACCTCCAGACAATCATCTGAGCATTGCAGTATTTACTCACAATTTATCATTCACACTGGAAGTTATTAGGCATTCAGAATGTATTTATTCTCTTGGGTTCAATCAATTAGGCTTTATAAACTGATGATAATTATTTTTGTTTTCTGGATACACGATACAACCTTGCACTGGCAATATCAATAACAGTCATATCCACTCTTTAATGACAGACACTAAAAGCAGTTTTCTTGATCATAGTATCCGTCTCGTTGATCAGAGTTCATCCATACTACTAATGTGATTCATTAAACATTCACACAATTGTCAAATCAGTTAGCTCCATCAAAGTTGTTGCATTTGCATCATGTTGTATCACTGATGCTGCACGTGTAGCGATGATGTTGCATCACTGATGCTGCACGTGTAGCGATGATGTTGTATCACTGATGCTGCAGGTGTAGCGATGATGTTGTATCACTGATGTGGCACGTGTAGCGATGATGTTGTATCACTGATGCTGCACGTGTAGCGATGATGTTGTGTCACTGATGCTGCACGTGTAGCGATGATGTTGTATCACTGATGCTGCACGTGTAGCGATGATGTAACATCACTGACGCTGCACGTGTAGCGATGATGTAACATCACTGATGCTGCACGTGTAGCGATGATGTTGTATCACTGATGCTGCACATGTAGCGATGATGTTGTATCACTGATGCTGCACGTGTAGCGATGATGTTGTATCACTGATGCTGCACGTGTAGCGATGATGTTGTATCACTGATGCTGCACGTGTAGTGATGATGTTGCATCACTGATGCTGCACATGTAGCGATGATGTTGCATCACTGATGCTGCAGGTGTAGCGATGATGTATCACTGATGCTGCACGTGTAGCGATGATGTTGCATCACTGATGCTGCACGTGTAGCGATGATGTTGTAGCACTGATGCTGCACTTGTATAGAAGATGTAGCATTTGCATTATTGATGTTGTGTTGCCACATGGATCCATAATGTTGCATTTGTATCCATAATGTTGCACTTGTAGCAATGATCTTGTACTTGTGTAGAAGATGTAGCATTTGCATCAGTGATGTTGCACTTGTATCGATGATGTTGCATCAATGATGTTGCAATTGTATCGATGATGTTGCACTTGTATCGATGATATTGCACTTGTACAGAAGATGTAGCATTTGCATCAATGATGTTTCACTTGTATGTTCAGTCTTGTTCAAAGTCGGTACATGAATAAATGCAACACAGGACATGAATGACTCAAACTGGCTGGATCACTTACTGCGTGCATACACAAACACTGGCTAACTGAACAGTTTGTTAACCCTTTGACTGTGGGATCTTGGCACGGTGTTTACATCTATTGATAAATGATGTGATGATTGATCATGATTTTGGAAACACAAAAAATTAATGCCATTTACATTAGATGACAACGCCAAAGCAATCATTCCACAAGACTATTTGGGGAACTGGTATCACTAACACCTGAATACATACTTAACATAGTAAGGGTTAAATTTTTCAACAACTCTCACAACAAACATAAAACAATAAATATTCTAAAAAATAAGTACAGTAAAATAAGACGACTGTTACAAATGGGTGACTAAGTCCCAAACACAAGTATAATCTCGTATCACATGGTGTATGTACCATTTCCAGTTGACTGCAAGACTATAATACCTTCGTCAGCACTGAGGTAATCATTCAGACGGATGTATCACAATTTTTAAGCCACAGAAAACATGGTAGCGTCTATGTGACAGTCAGCATTTTAGCAAAACTTTCAAAGTTTTCATAATTCAAGTCAGGCGGGATGAGAAAGGAGTAGTGTCCGAACTGAATGGCTGTCCGAACATTTTCTTCGTCATCATCCAAAAGCATTACCTCCTTTGAACTGACGACCACATGGTACCTCTGATAAAGTTCATTAAAGATGTTGATAAGGTGAGCTTCCTTCCCAACAAATTCATCTGGACCTTGTCGTTGTAGTAGATCTATAGTGTTCGCTTGGACTAGTATTTTACTGGCAATACTGAAACAAACGAAAACAAATGTGAGATATAGAACTCATTTGCCATTTTTTGTGAAGTCACATTATGAGCAGAGCTACAGATAACGTTTTGGGTCATTGAGTTATGTACTCGCTTGTGGTCATCTCAATTGGGTATCCTAATTTTCCTTGGAGCAACCAAATGAATTGTCCCCACCTCACTCAAACTCAATTGGGTATTTTGTCATTTTCCATTAATTGTTAAAATATAATAAAGTTTAAATGTTAGTGTTTGTTATATATATTTGATCTGTAATATGAGAAACGATAAGAGAGACTGCAAGTTGCCAAGTTCATGTCCTGAAACAGAACCTCTCAATATACCTGTTATTTTATCTATCCACCGGTACGCAAGCTAAGATTTGACACTTTTGTGTGTACGCGTGTAACATCACATCTATTGAGTATTTACAAAATTTCAAGCGTACTTGTACGCAATAGACTTAATAGGAATTGAGTTTTCACATAAATATTTGCGTAATTTACGCAGATACGCAGCTTATCTGTACCTCTGATTATGATATTTGATATTTTTGATGAGACAGACCTTTTTCTTGATTACTGAGATTTTGGTGAAACTACCAATGAGGGAGTGCCATAGGAACAAGAATATATCACTTTTTATTCAACAAAATCTGCAGATAAAAAAACGGTTTAATTTCAAAGCATGATGCCAACACATTCAGGTACAAATGATCTATTTTTGGTGCCTGTAACTGGAAAAAAGGTAAATCAGTTGCAGTTGGAAAGCTATTATGAACAGCGTGTCGTTTTAACCATGCCCAAAACAAAACAAAAGAGGGAGGCTGTATATAAGATACAGTGGATAAGCTTGTATTATCTGAATCTGATAGTTCTCTTGCTGTTCTAAGGGGACTCAATTTTCCAAATTTCAAAAGAAACTATGCTTCATGGTCTGGTGTCTGGTTTTTTCCTAGTCCACAACTTAACAAATACATTGTGTCAATTTCCAAAATAACTACTAATCTGAACTAGATGGCTGGGATTGCCAACTAGCCACAGTCTTGTCACCATTTAACACATCACAAAGCATTTGATAATGGGCAGGACATTAAACTGGTGCTGAAGTAACCACCCACCATGCACTTCATATACTAGCCTGCTTCTAGTGATAGACTGGGACTAGGAATGTAATGATACACTTTGTTGCAACATAAGATATATCTGGGGAGTAAGCATGGTAAGGAGAGCTTGACACGGAAACAAATAGTGCATAAACATTTCCAAATATAAAAAGTTTTGAACATTTTTGATCATATAAACTTGCAAAATAGATGTGCCTTGAAACTGATATTAAAAACAACTTTTACATATAATTTGTAAAACAGAAATAACTTCTTTTCCAATTTATTATAATGAAACAGGGATTTACCTCGAGTCCTGTATTTGAGGGTCCCTGGGACTCATGCTTAGAATTTTCAGGGGTCCTGGACAATGAAATGGGGGTCCCAGACACTTAAATATTATTACTAATACTGTTATTGTAATCATGATCAACACATTAAATGTTACAGTAATGAAATTGCAAATGATACCATAACTCAGCTAATAGCAAACTCAGTGATAACTTATTGTTACTTGATTGGAATTTTTACAAAAGTATTTGGACTTTTTCTATGTCCCTGTGGATGCGTAAATAAAGTTCGTTGTGTCCATTGTCAATTTTTATGCGCATAGGACGCAGGAATTCGCGTCCTGTAAATCCCTGACGAAAGACTTTCTATATCCTCTTGATATATGACAGACTGATCACAGTGATTCCTCAGGACCCTAACTGAGAATGGTGAAAATGTATAGGGACCAAAGCATATCGATTTTATATATAAGCAGCTACTCTAAAAGAAATTATGACTTCACACTGATCGGATTTAACTCATCATGTCCAAATTACTGAGTCACTTAACCATTACTACGACTGACTGACTGACTGAGTTTGGTTTTACGCAAATTTTAGCAATATTCCAGCAACATCACGGCGGGGGACACCAGAAATGGGCTTCACACATTGTACCCATGTGGGGATTCGAACCCGGGTCTTCGGCGTGACTAGCCAACGCTTTAACCACTAGGCTACCCCACCGCCCCCCATTACTACGAACAGAAATGTTAACATGTCTAATAGCAAATATCTGGAAGTGAAATGTTGAATCAGGTCGGGTATTTAAACTGTTCACATTTTGATACAAAAGTGTATAAACACGATAAATAAATATCTGAGCAGTTCTGTTGCCTATACAATACCGTTTGGGGAAGACATGCTGGAGCAATTCACGTATCAACCAGGCTTGCTTGAAAAATGTGACGATGCAGACAAACAGGCCTCTCTGTATAGCATGTTGCAGTAGGTCTCGCATACACGGCCTCACATGCTGTGCAAGACTTTCCACGCCATCTCGCCATTGCCCTCCCGAGTGGATCGACAGCAATGTTTGATCAAAGTCTACAGCCAAAACCTGAATTCCTTTCACTGTCAGAGACTTGACAAAACCTTCCACCTTTTGTTTATCGCTTTTGTCAGCAGCTGACATCGTTCTCAACTTTGAATAGTTTATGTTTACACAGTTTTTCCACTGGCATTGCTGTCAAAATGAAATTGCGTCGTCCATGTTTGTTCAAGGTGACAAATGAGAGTTATCTGCCCTTGAAAATATAGACAGCAAACTTGACTGTTGGCGCATCTTCCACGTAAAAACGGTTTTACAACTCATCAACACAGCATCAAACCCAGCTAAAACATAACATTTTCAAAAATATTTTCGAACGTTGTCGTAAAAATGTTTTACTTAAGAATTGAATGTCAGTTTGTGTGTTTGCACTGAAAAATGAACGATGTCAAAGCGGTGTTCAAACTCGTGTGAACGAGCGAGTTTACGAGCCAACATTTCCCAACCAACGTTCTGGAATCTGTGTAAACTTGAAAGCACGAAATTATAACTATTTAAAGTGTTATTGAAATATTTTCAAAATGTTATAATTTCGTGCTTTCAAGTTTACACAGATTCCCGAACGTTGGTTGGTTGAGAGAGCGGACGTGTAATCTAAATTTCAAGGTTCATTACTCTTGAACCCCTCTAATCGTTCATACTTGTGTAAACACCGTTCATACGTGTGTGAACGTTTTTCGCTTCGGTTTCAAGGACCCCCAATAATTGGCGATACCAATTTCGCGAACGAACCTGTTTCAAGTCACCCCAAGTTCGGCAATGTCACTACCAAACGGATTGCCGAACATTGTTCCTTTTTACAGGAGATTAATGTCTCGCAGTTTGCGGGTTCATCCGGCGGTTTTCTGCCCCGAGGTCTGTTTAACAACTGCTCAAAAAATTTCACAATAAACAATCACAAATAAATAGAATACAACAAGATCTGTTTCCTATTCGCCACGCCGCACAACTTCGAAGTCGGTCAGTGTATTATTACGCGGTCAAACATTTAAGGTATTTACAAGTGAAAAGGTACAATGCCAGTTTGTTAAAATGGTATTGTTATTGCTTCTGATATTTGTTTCTGTTTGATACTGTTATTGATTATACTTATTAAAGCAGTTTCAAACCTCATAACGAATTTGTTGTTATATTTTAAAGATCGAATACTTTGAGAACTATTTCTTCAAGGGTTGGGATACATGTGTAAAAATAAAATCGCTGTGTATACAAACATCGCTGCAATACGTACGTTCTTGAACCAAATGGCATTACAACATTTTACAGGTATTAAAACACACTAAACAATGATCATCTACAAGTGGGTGGAAAACGTATGTGTAAACTTCAAAGTGCGAAATTATAAGAATTGAATGTCAGTTTGCGTGTTTGCACTGAAAAATGAACGATGTCAAAGCGTTGTTCAAACTCTCGCGTGAACTCGCTCGTTCACACGAGTTTGAACACCGCTTTGACATCGTTCATTTTTCAGTGCAAACACATAAACTGACATTCAATTCTTAAATAAAAAACACCATGCTACAAAATGGGTAGATCTATAACTATTCATAACGTTTTTGAAACGTTGCAGAAATATTATGTAAGAACATGTTTAATGAAATATTGTCATCATGTTTTAAAAACATTGTGGACGCATATGCCAAATCATACAAATAAGGTGTAAATGTATCACAACTAATAAAATATAATGATATTGAAACTTAATTGAAAACATCGTGCTGTAACATGGGTAAACTTTTTCTTTGACAGTTAAAACCACATGTTTACACAAAATGTTTTCAAAACGAAAACTTAGTTTTGTACGTCAGTATATAGTTTTAAGGTGAAATTAAGACAAAACAGCTTCCTCGGTTCTATCATATTAGAATGAAAATGGATCCTTTATTCTTGATCAGTGTAATGTGATCTGTTCCATACTTTATTTTGAAGATCTGATATGTGGACGAATTATGTAATGTAAAATATCGTTTAACGTAAGTGCAAGTAGTTGACCGTAGTGGGGGATGAACGTAGTAGACCCGTAGTTAGTGACCTTAGTTACGTAGTTAGGCGTAATTACGCGTAGTTCAACGTAGATCACCGTAGCTATGACCGTGCTTTGAACTTAAGCAAACCCATGATTTTTAGAAAAAAAATCAACATGTTCAAAATATCTCTACGGTCAGCTTAAATGCCAAGACCCTACTGTTACCGTAGTTTGAACGTGTTTGACCCTAGTTCTCCCGAGTAGACCGTACCTGATCCTACTGCACCATTGTGTTGACTGTAGTACACCGTGGTAACGTGGCACTACGATCAAAGTACGGTTTACTACTACTTCCAACCTACTTCGGTCTAGTTCGCCGCAGTGGTAGGCCTACTTCGGTGAACTACGTTCAAATGAGTTACGGTCAACAACGTTCATGACCGTAAGATGTGACCGCGGCTTTAGAGATTGTAACTCCGTGTCAGATCGTCACGAAAGGGAAATGGCACCAAATTGGTAAAAACAGCACCGTTTGTAGCCTGATATGTAATATGAGTTAGTATTTTAAAAAATACACGAAATATGTTTGTCGTCTTCTACCAAAACTTAAAAACAAAATGTTGGCTACAGATAGACGCCAACACTCCCCACACAAACACACACACCCATACCCACACCTATTATGCATGACCAGTCCCTTACAGCTGATTGCAATGAGATTTTTAATTCAGTTAAATATCAAAAGTCGTTCGAACAACATATGACTTTTCTCTTTCAGATAATGCTTGTGTCACGTGAACGTAATTTCACCCGTTCTTACCCTGAAAGTGATGGAACATTTGAGCCTTTTTATGAGTATGCCTCCATGATTAACCATACTTGATCGCCCTATTTAAACGCAGTTGCCTCCCTTCCTCTGTCAGCTTATCGTCTGCTGGAGCGTGACGTCATTATTGGCAACAACGCCGCGCGGGACTTGACATGCCGGTCGAAGCGAGAACCTGCAGAACTGGTTCTGTGGCCTGGCGGTATACTGAGCGAGCACTGTTGTGAATAATATCGCCAGCCAGACTATTTCTGGCAACAGGCTTTCCTCCCTTGAAAACAGTGGCTACGCTCGGGATGGGCAATGTCGGTGCGTTAACGGTGTGGTAGGGTGTAGTCGCTACCGTTTTAGGAAGGAAAGACGAAATAAGGATAGAAGGAAAGGATTACCAATAAATAAGGACATTTTACCGATCCGTCAGGTAAGAATGCACGCTCTTTTATCAGACATAGCCTGCAAATACAGTCAGTAAACTGCACTTATCCAATAATGATCGATGTCTGGGGTAAATCGGGGTGTTATTCCACCCGTGGGTGCTTCGATAGAATTATAAATACTTATGTCATAACGTTTCAGATGATATATATTATTTTCTTTTCATATTTGTTTTGAGATTGTAGTTCGTATATCAACTAGTGTTTATTATATTGTATTAACTTAAAACTTTTGTCGGAAATTATCAAAGATGAATAGAGTATAAATTATATGTGTGTATACATATTTACATAATAATAGGAATACCACGTTGGCATCCCATTCCGAAGATGTTATTATGCCGTAATATCATCAAGATATACCATTCTCAATAATTTATTGTCATATATCCACGATTCAGAAGTGTTTACAAAAACTTCGTTATACCACGCCCAGGTATGTAGTGATTTCATATATTTAACTGGAACAACGCCACATGTTTCTTCTTGCCATGAAAGTTCAGAATGTAGTCGAATGGCATTGCATTATCCCAATACTCAGCTGTTATCTACTGTCGTAAGCAATGTTCTTAATGTTCGTAGCCTTACAGCATGGTATACAAAACCGGTTGTCGTTGCGGCCATTTTTCTCATAGCGAGGCAACTCGGTGGTATCGTCTGCTAAAGACGTTTCAAGATATTTAGACTTCATACTAAAGTAATAACGCTACAACGAGAACGAACGATGTCATGTAATGCCCAAACCAGTATTTTCCCCGGTTGCAGTATTTTTATAATTTCTGGAAATTTTGTACACATAACATGTCAGTATTTCTACATGTGAACCCGTGACAAGTATAAAATTCGCATATTGGCTCTATTCATTGCACCCCTTCCCCCTCCCCTCCCCCCTAATTAACAGACTTTAACTGGCAATCAGTTGGGTAAATATGTGCCATGGCTCATTGCGTGATCTCGTTGGTCGTGTTATAAGAAAGGTGTGATACTTCTTTATTACGTTCTGATGCGACGTTTCGGTATAGATTCTTATACCGTTCTCAAGCAAGAAAATATATACCGAAACGTGGCATCATAATATAATGAAGAATTTGTTATCTATAAGTTAGCATACCTTCCTTATTATTCATTGACTTATAATATGCCAACTAAACAGGTTGTTCTCAACCACTGTCAGATCTGACTTCAGCTATGCTTGAAGAATGTTCTTTAATTCTTTGCATTAACGTACTTCCACAAATTGGAATAATCATAAAATGACATTTTTCAAAGGTGTTATAAGAATTGTTATGGCTGTTGTCGATTACTGATGCTAACAAAGCTTCATCTACACGAAATACCAGCTTAACCAGTCATACTATTGTAACCCAGAATAATCCCCTGAAGACACAGCTGTACCCTTCATCCTATATACTGTTAAACAAAGGCTAATTAAGATACACGTTTTGTAGTAGACGGTCATTGTTATGTTCCTTTGTATTGTTGCTTTCTGGATCTATTGTATATGGCCAGAATTGATGCATTTAGCTGCAGCAGACATTGTTGTAGCATTTGTGTATTATCTTTACATTCCCCACATGGGTACAATGTGGAGCCCATTGCTGGTGGCCTGTTGCATTTAGCTGCAGGAGACATTGTTGATTCGTTTGATTGGCATTTTAGAAGTTGATTCCTTCCGCCTACAATAAACTGATAAAAACAACAGAACAGAGCACTCCACCCATCATTGCTAATTAATCCCATCTGCGATATATATCTTGTACTGCCTCCTCAACAGTTGGCTTCCTCCTATTGTTACTGCATTATTACCTGTTCCATTGTTGTTGTTGTGAATCCCTTTGATGTATTCTTTCATGTTGTCTTACTCAATCCCTGTGCTGTATTACTTTACTCTTGCTTGACAACGGTATAAGGAGATATACCGAAACATCGCATCATGTACAATAAAGAGGTTGTTATCCATAAAGTATTATACAGTTCTTAGGAGACATTGTTGTTGCATATGTTTGCCACCTTTGTCTAGATCTTGTTGCGGATGAAGCATTCAGTAATACTTAGCGTCTGGCGCCCTTGTGTAGCTTGCCGTGACAGTTATAGTCTCTTCATATAGGGAGTGTTTGTTGATATCAGTTTGTTTACTCATGGATTGTTCAAGTTTAACGTTAGATCGGCAGTATTTCTGTTAAATAGCGACACCTTGCTTGTTAGAATGTATATTGCAAGGGTGAAAGGTATGCAGCACGACGGGCGATGGGGTAGCCTAGTGGTTAAAGCGTTCGCTCGTCACGCCGAAGGCCGGGTTCTATTCCCCATATGGGTAAACTGTGTGAAGCCTATTTCTGGTGTCCCCGCCGTGATATTGCTGGAATATTGCTAAAAGCGGCGTAAAACCATACTCAGTCAGTCAGTATGCAGCACGACACTTGTGACGGAACGTGGAACCTTTTTACTGTCACGTTTAAAGGTTCCCGAGCGTCGACAGCAACCTGCTGGCCGTAAAGGGCGACTAACACGATTGGGTGCTCAAGACTGGTTGGTACATGTCACCGAATATCCCAGTAGCATTGATCGTAGCTCACAATGTCAGTCGATCACGGGACTGTCTGGTCAAGACTTTATCACCGATGAAGAGTGTGGCGTTAAACAACAAATACGTTCCCCAACCATCACGTACTTTAAAACTTCGTTTACTCTTAAGTCCTACTTCCATGTAGGTAATTCTGCCCATTGTTGTTTTTAGAAAGACTGAAATCAACCTATCATTGTGGTGTGATTATGTCACCTATTTGTGTTGATGTGACATGGCGTCAGGCGTCTTGGTCATGATCGCTCTAATCCTTATGGACAATTACGTTTTGTTCCTGTGTAGCTGGGTACGTAAGTCCCGAAACATTCAAAATAAATTAAAACTTTCCAGATTTTTTAAACGTAGTATTTTTTTCCATTTTAAATTATGGCTGAATTTGACAACAATCGCCAGCGACTGAAGGGCTTACATAAATCCAGCTAGGGTACATGCAGGTAGCAAAAGTACTGTAAGTCCCCATGGCCCCTAGTATGGTGATCTTCCTTCAGTCGTTGGCGACCTCCAGGCCGTTTTAATATTGCATTGTGTCCATAAAAGTGGTTTCATTTTAAAGTTCCATGTCCGTTTTAATTCTCTCTCTGATAATCTAGTTATTTTACTGTCCTTTGTCGACAGTTTTTTTATATAACTTTATCTATTATGAATAAATGAATTGTTTTAGTCACGATATGGCTGAAATATTGTCGGTGTAACAATAATTTTAACTCAATCACTCACCAGTCTAGGTGGGGCGGTGGGGAAGCCTAGTGGTCAAAGCGTTCGCTCGTCACGCCGAAGACCCGAGTTCGATACCACATATGGCTACAATGTGTGAAGCCCATCTCTGGTGTCCCTGCTGTGATATTGCTGGAATATTGATTAAAGCTGCTAAAAAAGTCAAGTCACTCACTCACTTCTGTGAGCTATCCTTTATTAGCGTGAACCATGTGAGGTGCTGGGAGATCTGGTTAGATTCTGACTCTTATGTGACATTGAAGGTTCTGATACTTACACTATATATCAATTTAACTTCGTTCGAGATAGACCCGTGAAGAATCGGGTTAGAATTGGTCTTCAGTAACCCATGCTTGTCGTGAGAGTCGACTAACGGCATCGGGTGGTCAGGCTCGCTGACTTGGTTGACACATGTCATCGAATCCCAATTGCGTAAATCGATGCACATACAGCTGATCACTGGATTGTCTGGTCCAGACTCGATTATTTCAGAATATAGCTGGAATATTGCTGAGTGCGGCGTAAAACTAAACTCACTCACTCGTTCGAGATATGACGGAAAGCTCTGTAATATATAACATGCAATAAGTTATTGTCCTTAAAATATGCTTGGTATTTTCACTTCAGGATCACCATGGCAAAGTTATTGCTCATCGTGTCGCTGTGTGTAGCGTCAAGCGTTGCCCAGCAACTGGCACGTGAGACCTGTGACGCCAGTCGCAGAAAGGCGGAAGCGCAAGTAGCTGGAGCACAAGTTGTACTTGGCGGACTTTTTGAAATCCGACAACCGAGCACCGATGGCTATGGGTGCGGCCAGCCAGCACCAGGTAGCGTCATGTTGATTCCAGCTGTATTTCATTAAATATTGTGTTATGCAGCATAATATACATTTTTAATCCGTTCTCAAAACTTTAGATGAAGAAACGAAACCTAGCTTAAAGCACACAGAGGCAAATGTTGCATGAGTCTTATATGCATTATGTCATCCTCTCTCAAAGGTATTTTTGTAATATTTTTACCTTTTGGTTTAAAATTTTCTTGTTTTTATATGTTTTCCTGTTAATTTACAGATTTAATGCAGATATACGAGGCTGCCCGCTGGGCGATATCTCTGCTGAATAGTAGAAATTCCAACCAAGGATTTATCCCAAGTATCAGATTTGGTACGTTCCATTGATTTAGCCTGTTCGTAAAAGCGATCGCTCATTTCGTCGAAAGTAGGTGTTTATATGTATGAAGATTGTTTCAGTGTATGGGATATTGCTAGATTTCTGGTAAAAGCGACATTAAACCATTCTCGCTCACTCTCCTAAAATCGCAAATGCACTTGACATGAGTAGAGATGTACCAGTTGATCTCTCTCTCTCCCCCTCTCCATATTATCCTAATTATGGGGATGTATTTCTTACAGGTTTGCAAGCCTATGACACTTGTTTTTCCCCGGAGCAAAGTCTTGGAGCAGTGTACGACTTCTACCCACAGGCCTCGTCCAAAAGCATGTACTGCACGAGCTCAACCACTCAGGCTTTTCCTGGTGAGTGAACCATTATTGACATCCACCCCATCCCTCCATACTCACTCTCTCACTCACACTCACTCACTCACACACACGCACACACAAACACACACACGCACAAGCGCACGCACATATCATTCGGTTCTTCACAAAAAGCCAGGATGAGAATTGGGTATTAATATCAACGTCATTCCAGCGTTGCTGCTGATGTGTCATTACGTATTTTGATTTGTTTCAGGGTTCGTTGGCCCTCTGTCAAGCTGGACCTCGCTGTCGGTGGCCGGCCTTATGAAAAAACTTAACATACCTGCCGTGGCTCCTCGACCAATGTCGTCTGCTCTAAGTAACAAGAACCTCTACCCAACATTCTACAGGACGTCGCCATCGTCAGCTGCACTTGTTCGGGTAAAACACCACGCTCACATCTCACTAATCGTGTTCTTAGACTACACTTTGAATTTATGTTGAAAACCCACTGACGCCAAAAGTAGCATCGTGCGGGGCTTCAGAAGTACTTGAAATTAGCGGTTGATGACTGCTTTTATTACTGGACATCACAAGGAAGTTATGCCATCTCTGTCAAGACCCCAAAGTTAAATCTTCAAGTGTTCAAGATATAGTATCGTTTCCTTGAAAATCTGTCGACCGCCAGTAAACCTCATTCATACAAGTATGGCCAGGCAGGTTTTTGAACGCAACGTTAGTAGGTTCTATATTTAACAATATGGCGTATGTAACTGTTAATGACAAAGGTATGTTACAATGACTGTTTTGGAGAAACATATTGTTTTTGTTTGTTTTTGAATAGCCGAAAATTGAATATCATGAAGGGTTATGGAATAAGTGATTTCGGCTCAGGACAAAATAATTGAAATCTGAACTTAGATTAAACAGGCTGTCGCGGTTTTACATATTGAGAATATTGGTTGTATCTGTATGTTAGAGAGGATATGTATCATCTGACAGATGCCCACCATTTGCCCATGTATATCCTAATATCATCTATCCACATCCAGGCAACCAGCGCTCTACTGGACCGCCTACAGTGGAATAAGATCATAATGGTATACTCCGACTCAGAGTATGGCCGGGACGGCCTGAAGAACATGCTCGAGTTTGCTCTCACCAGTGGCAGATGCATAGTTCAAGCTATTCCAATTAAAAGCGGAGAAACAGAAAACCAGTTTTTCAGCCGCCTTTCAGCAGTCCAGCAATATGACGTCAACGGTGGTCTTTTCTGGGGAAGTGCTGCCGAAAGCAACGTTGCCATCGCAGCACTCGAACGACTCAACCAAGCAGCAACCTATGGGCACATCCAGTGGATCTTCACCGATCTCGATACCTCTAAATCCTACACCGAGAGAATAGCCAGAGGGGCACTGGTCATCTTACCAACATCTACCGTTATTGAGGAGTTTAGGAGCTACTGGGCAGGACTTAACCCAAACTCTCCATCAAACGAGAACCCCTGGTTCATGGACTGGTACATGACAAAGTATCAGTGTCGTCTGACAGGCGTTAACTACCAGCCATATGTCTCGCTGCCAGGTTGTCCTTCTGTGGACTTGACATCTCAGTACAACAACTACGTTCAGAACCCGTATGTTGAGAGCACGGTTAAGGCAGTTTTTGCATATGCGGCAGCTTACAAGAACGCGAATCGGGATTTCTGCACCAATCGCGGTCGAGGTGGATTCTGTGATGACCTGAAAAATATAAATCCTGTGACTTTGAATGCCTATTTGAAGGCTCTGAGGTATACCTTCACTGCCGAGGATGGTATGGCCAGCATGGTAGGGAAGTCAATCGCCTTCGATGACAACGGCGACCCTGTGACTTCCTCGTTCACACTTTGGAACTACGTCAACAACGTTTTCGAGAGGGTGAGTTTTCCCTACAACTTCATATTTCTCGAGTTATAATACCTCGAAAGATTATCTTGCAATAGCATTAAAACTATTGAGGCATGGTGCACTGTTTTCGCCTATCAGTTATGTCAATACATTGTAATAGAGGAACATCACACATAATGTGATGCATATTGTAGGACCTTACCAAACTGAGGATGGTAGTATTACTGTGAGCATACCTGACGTGGGCCTTCGCTTATGCTTCAATCTAGTGGTCCGCCTTTCCTGGAATATTTGGAGGCTTTCATGATATAGATGAATAACATGAATTACATTCTATCACATATAGATGTTACTTAGGGGTTGAAGAAATTATTTGACCATGTCTTGCTTAATGATGTTATTGTTTGCTTCAGGTGGGGAATTACACCAACAACGTCTTGAACCTTGATGTAAGCACTATCACGTTCTACGCCAGTGACCGAAGGACCCAGCTATCTTCACCTCCAACGTCCCTGTGCCCAGCCGGAGGGTGCCAGAACTGCCTCATGCCAACCAACAACATCCAGTACACATACATACCAGGTGACATTATCCTTGGCGGGATGGTGGGAGTTCGCAATACAGGAACCGATCCGATGACATGTACAGACATCTCTAGCCTTGGAAGTGAAGCTCTTCTGGCTTTGAGATATGGTCTTATGACCTTCAGAGATGCCCTTGGAAGCAATACTCTCAATGGGGTAGAGCTTGGAGCCCTCGTTGCTGATACCTGCAACAGATACATTGCAGATGCCTTCCTCAGCGAACTTCTGGGTGGAAAAAAGAGTTTCAAGGATAAATCTGGTGGAAATATTGACACAGAATTCCTTACTTCCTTCATAAACTTCAGAGAGTCATCACTGGCTGTGGCTACGTCAAACATCCTTGGACAATATAGGATGCCTGAGATAGAATCGGCGGCGACGGCCCCATCGCTAAACAACAAGATGATGTACCCTTACTTTAACAGGGCGTTACCGTCCGGCGACGCCATGAATTCAGCTATCATCAATATCTTGAAACGACAGCGTTGGAGCTACATCCAGATACTATACCGTTCTGACGCCTTCGGTCAAGAGCAAATGATGTCATTCAAGAAAGTAGCTGCAAAAGCTAACATCTGCGTTGCTGCCGCACACAGCTTAAGCATTGGTGGTGCTGCTGTTTTGGATAAACTCAGAGAACACACCGAAGCCAGGGCCGTTGTTGTATTTGGCTACGGTCCAGATATCCGCGGGATCCTCGAAGCTATGAAATTAAACAATGCAAAGGGAGAGTTTGTTCTTGTAGGGAGTGATAATTGGGGCGACAGGACGAGCATCGTCAGTGGTTACGAAGACATGGCTGATGGAAGCTTTACGGTAAAACTTGCGCCCCCAGATGCAACCGGGTTTAACAACTACTTAAGAAACTTGACCTGGAATACAATCAAAGCTGACCCTGTCATGTCTAAGCTGTACGAGAAGACGTTCAGCTGCTATATCAATGCAGGTGATAGAGGAAGATACAACACACAGTGCTTTCCCCAGGTCCTGAGTTCCACATCCCCTTACTCCCCGTTTGTGGTGAGTGCTGTGTACTCCATGGCGCTGGCTCTTCACAATACCCTGCAGGAGGTATGCGGAAACAACTACAGGGGGCTCTGCAACGACTTCAGAAACAAAGACGACGTCAGCACAAAACTACTTCAGCAGCTGAGAAACATTTCTTATGTCAACCGTAGAACTAGCCAGACATTTTCTATTGTCAACGGAGAAGGAATGGCTGACTTTGACATCTTCAACTTCCAAAATGGCGCTGGATTTGGTGGCTACATACCTGTAAGTTAAAACCAGCTTCATAGGAGTATCCTGTTTTCTTTCCTAACACGCTAGAAGCACTCATATCACATGTCATTTCAGTACGTTATGTTTGAGTTGGCTGTGCAGGATAGACTTGAAACTTATACAGCATAATGCACTTATAACGAATTAAAACTAATCATATATACATGTAGTTAGTTACGCTCATTTCGATCCATGAAGCATGTGTCTGGGAACACACAAACACAACAAAATTAATTATTTAATAGTATAGTACACAATTCATGTGAGTGAGTGAGTGAAAGATATACACATGACACCTAAGAAGTCACTGTTTCACGGATGTGTGTACATGTGTACAAATCCAGGAAGTGCTCCCGCTGTCATCCAGTAGATCCATCATGATGTATGTGGGAGAGAGGGGACAATCTTGTATAGGTAGATTTGATTCTTGTATGCTACTTGTTTCGTGTCATTATTATAATACACATTGTGATTACCTAAATAACTGTAGAAGCTTTCACTTCACACGTCCCCTTTACCTAAAGAGAAATGTTTTCTCTATTTCATAACCTACTTACCAGGTGACAACGTCTTGATGCACCATAGGCCAGCCCTGCTGAACAGCCCCACCCGTCGACTGCTCTTGTCAGAAACGTCTTGAACACTTGTAAATGTCTATTTAGAATTGCGTTATTGTTTCAGGTTGGGAAATACCAAACTGCCAGTGGCACCATCAGCAACTTCCAAGACAGTAATGTCCGCCTGCCAAATGGAGCTGGGTCGACCACTCTCACGTCACGATGCATGAACAAGTGTCTCCAATGCTATATGTACCAGCAGCAACCTTTCCTGTACATGCCTGGAGATGTCTTACTCGGGGGCATGTTCTCTGTCAGCAACTCCGGTAACCAGGGCCCATTTGTTTGCGGATCTGTCAAAACAACAAATGGATTCCAGTACACTGCTGCTATGCAGTATGCCATCGAAACAGTAAACAACAAAGAAGCACCTGTTGGTTTGAATGGCATCAAACTGGGAGGCTTGGCACTTGACCATTGTAACAACGAGGACCGACCTTTCTCCCTTCTCTCCAGTATATATTCTGGGATGATGGAGCAGTCCCTACCGATGACCGGGTCATCAGGCAACCGGAAACCCCTATCAAGATCTATTGCAGCTTGGATCACGGATAATACGGCCAGCACCCGGGAAGCAGGGGACTTCCTTCAACCATTCAACATCCCCATCGTCAGTCCATCTGCCACCTCCGAGTCCTTGATGAACTTAACGTCTTTCTACAGAACCACCCAGGGAGATGACACAGTTGCGATTGCGATAGTAAAGATTGTGAAATCTCTGAACCTCCCATATATCCAGCTGGTACATAGTGCCAACAGCTACGGGCGCGGTGGTTTGAGTGCCATACAGGCAGCTGGACAACAGGAAGACATCTGTGTTATATCATCCATTGAATTCGACTCAACCATGTCTTCAGATGATGTCATCCGGAAACTCACCGAGAGTCCTACACACGCTGTAGTCCTGTTTCTGGGTACATCTGATATGACTAAGTTAATGGAAGCCAAAGCAAGAAGCACTGTTGCCAATGTGGGCAATCTAGTGTTCGTATCACCCGAACCTTACACCAGTGTTGTTCAAAAGGCCGGATCAGCGGCAGCAAGATTGCTCAGCATCAGACTGAAGACACCAACACTCACAAGCTATAATAACTACCTTGGCAATAAGACACGGTCATACTACACAGATAATCCATATTTCGCTAAGTACTACATGGCTATCTACAACTGTAACCTGCCTGGCTACTACATGTCCAGCACCACCTGCACGTCTCCACCTACTCCACTCTCTGACAACATAAACTTCACCCAAAGCAATTTCATCCTCGCTACCATCAATGCAGTTTATGCTGCCACATACACCTTGGATGCAACGCTTAAGGAACTATGTGGTGATGACTACAATGGTGTCTGCCCTGAATTCTCGAACGCCAATGACCTCACCACACGACTTGTAGACAATCTCAGACTTACCAGTTTTGACAACATGGGCAACAGCTTCCGCTTCCTGAACAGAGAAGGCAACAGTGGTTATGACATTCTTCGCTTCGATGGAGGAAATTATCAAACCGTAAGTTTTAACGTCAAATTTTAACAACACATCATGTGAAAATATATTTATCACGTTTGATTTCCATATAATTGGAACGTGTTTTTACTTCATAAAGATAATGACAGACCTATAAAACTTTGTTTCTTTTAATGTTCCTTTCAATGGTCTTTGTTTTTTGTTTATGCACTACTGTGTTCGGAGACCGCCTCCGTGGTGTAGTGGTTAGAGCGTCCGCCCGGAGAGCGAAAGGTCGCTGGTTCGATCCCTGGCCGCGTCATACCAAATGACATTAAATATGTTACTTGTTGGTCCCTGCCTGGAGCTCGGCAGTAAAGGGTACAAGGACTGGTCGGCTCGGAGTCTCAATGTGTCTCAGTGGGATATTCATGCTTAACTGCGGCATGGTAACTCAGTGAGCTAGCACTATAAAACCAGCTTAAGTCTGGGCTAGTACAAGCAGCCACACATACACAAGCATGCACGTCGTCATATGAGCGAAATATTCTCAAGTACGATGTGAAACCCTATTTCACCTCACCTCACTGTGTACGGTTATGATTATACTTTCGTGCTCGTGTTTGTTTCAGGTGGGTAGTTACGAAGGTGCCGCCCTCCAAGTCAATGCAGGCCTAAGTGCTCTCTACAGTGATGTGACCTCCAAGTGCAACTCCGACTGTCTAGGATGCAACCAGCGTGGACTCAACTTCTCTTACGTACCAGGAGAAATACTTCTTGGAGGTAGGAACATACCATAGTCATATGCCACACTACAATGAAATCTGCAAGTTCCCGATGAGCTAAGACAATGTACTTTATGAATTTGACAGAATCCGTTAAGCAATATTGGCTCATATCGCCACTCCACTAGTTTTGAAGTGACCTTTTCATCAGTATAATTTACATAAGGGTACTGATAACGTAGGCCTGCAAGGTAGCCAAATGGTCCAAAGTGTTGTATTCCCCCATACTTATACAATGCTGGAGTCCAGTTTATGGTTCCCTCGGTCCCGAGGATGGCATAAAGCCACGTTCACTCACTCACCTAATTTAAGTAGTTCTAAAGACAATCTAATATTTTGCTGATGATTTTCAGGTATTTTTGATGTCCATGTCAAGAGTTCTAATACATTCAAATGTGGAGACATAAACACTCTACACGGGTTCCAGCTGCTGGAGGCCTTCAACTTTGCCTTGGAAAGGGTTAACAGCAAGGAGGGCATGTTTGCTAATATCCTTAGGGGAACAACTCTTGGAGGTGTTGGTCTAGACTCTTGTGAGAGCGCAATCAGGACAGGTTACCTGGTGTCTAACATCCACAATGGACTGACAAATCTTGCAAAGAATGGCTACATAGTTGATCCAGATCTAATCGACCTATACCTTGGTGGTTATTCAAGTGACCGATCGATCTATCTTGCCCGAATCCTGTCTGACCTCGAAATCCCTCAGATCAGCTATGCTGCTACCTCTACTGCCCTGCTTGATCGCTATCGGTACCCTTACTTCTACCGCACTGTTCCCGCAGACGACAAGCAGGTGCAGGCAATGACCACCTTCCTGAACTCCAAGGACATTCGATATGTTCAGGTACTCTACGCACAATCCAACTATGGCGAGTTTGGCGCGGCAGCGTTCAAACGTTTGGCGCCACTAAAGAGGATCTGTGTAGCCCAGATGGTTATGTTCCCTGACAACGGTACTGTATCCAGGGAAAGTAGTAACGATGTTGTCACACAGCTACTGGCCAAACCTGTTGCCAACACCATTGTCGTCTTTGCTGGTACAAGTTACATCAATGCCCTGCTGAGAGCTGTCCAGAGGAACCCTCGCGCCATTGGCAAGTTCCGGTTCCTGGGGTCTGAAACATGGGCGAAGAATGAAGATGCTATCCTGGGAGTTGAGCAGATTGCCAAAGGATCTGTGACGTTCAGTTTGAAGACAGTCAATTTAAAGGTGTATGACGATTATCTAAGTGGAAAGACGCCAGCTAATTCTCAGGATAACCCTTGGTTCAAGGAATATTATGAGGAGATCCAGAACTGTTACCTGACGGTCCCAGACGACAAATACACTAGGAAATGTCCCCAGACGCCAGAGAACCTCATCTCCAGCATCCGATACAAGCAGGACCCTGGCGTCCTACACGTCATCAACTCCGTCTACGCTGCTGCCTTTGCAATAGATACCACGCTCAAAGAGGTATGTTGCTTACATTTCTGTTTTCACAACTGTTCATACCATTCTGCTTTTGGTTCTTTAATTACGTGACGGGTTGGTTTGGAAACCAATTATGTAATTAATCCATTTAGTGTCTTAGCAAACAAACAAACCGGATTTTTCAACGTATTCCATTTATACTACAGTTAATCATCCATGGGAAAGATGTGCCATATTGAATCCTAAGGAGTAGCTCTTGTGTATTGATCTTGAATGAATTGTATGTTTGGTAAACCTGGTTCTCTCCGCAAAGGAATTCCTAACACATGACTCGACTGTCTCCGGGTTTCACTAGTTTTGAGATGGAATAGATAGATATATTCAATTTCTGTTAGGATCACAACTGATCTCTTTCGTTCTTGTCCTCAGATGTGTGGCGAGAACTACACAGCCGTATGCAAGGCCTATCGTAACGGACCAGACACAAAAGATGTGATTCTGAGGAATCTACAGAATGTGAACTTCCCTGATCCATCTGGCGACAATTTCAACTTCACCGACCGCAGAGAAGGGAGCAAGGGTTACGACATCTACGACATTCAGTTCATCCCAGTGGAAGGATATGTTTACAGGAAGGTAGGCCTAAGTGGTAAAGGTTAACTATAGATTGGCTTAGAGCAGTGGACTGTGGTTGGAAAGGAAGAGCACAGGGAGCATGTTCAGGGAGTCAGCCGGATCGGGTGGTCACTTGGTTTTGCCCGGTGTCACCATTTTCAGTAAATTATCATTTATACAAATTTCTGATTGGCATAAAACAACAGATACTTAATTATTGCAGAAGAAAAGGAATTGCGCAATACCAAATTATCAAAAAGGATAAGATTCACTTGACCTATTGCACAATAATTAAGTCCATGAAGTCCATGATAGTGTTTCACGTGGTGCACAGAAAATAGACTGCCATACTTCTACACAATTTTAACAGTTAACATTTCTTTTCAGATTGGTACGTACTCAAGCAGTGGGACTATCGATGTTCCAGCATACACCCCAGACTGGGATGGAAGTTGCACCCGCCAAGAGGCATGCTCAGAGTGTCCCACCATTAGAAATAGTGGCATTCGGTACGCGATCTCTGACCCACCCACCGCTATGTCCAATCCCCTTAATGTGATTGGGATCTTTGATGTCCACAACCAAGGAACTGATGCTTACAGGTGTGGATCCTTGAGAATGGATGGCTATAAACAGTTCAATGCTTTCTTCTACGTTATGCGGAGATTGAGTTCCACGTTTAACCTCAACATCAGAGCTGTCGCCATTGACACATGCTCCAACAGCCTTCGTGTTGGTCAAGACATCTATAATTTATTGGAAGGAAAGGGGCTCTGTAACTCCGACTTCATACATGTCAACGGGTCCATAAAATTAAACAACATCGGTGGTTTCATAACAGCCGGTAATGAAAACACACGTGAAGCGTCCCGTGTTCTCAACGCCTTCAAAGTCGCCTACATTAGCCCAAGTGCTCCTTCTATCATATTTAACAACACTGACCTGTATCCATACCTCGCTAGGACGACGGCTCCAAAGGGACAACTATTAAAAGGTGTAGCCGAGTTGATGAAAGAGATGGGATGGTCTTACGTTACTGCTGTTAGCTCAAGCTGGAGATTTGATGATGGGGGATACAGACAGTTCCTCTCTGTATCTGGCGGCAGGACGTGTGTGAGATCATCCTTCAACCTCCCTCCTAATCCTACGATAGAGGATGGGACTGAAGCTGTTACACAATTACTTGCAGCAGAAGGGTCCAACGTCGTCCTCCTCTTCACAACACATCAAGACACACTTATGATCCTTCGGGCAGCTAAGAACCTCAACGTGCTAGACAAATTCCTCTGGGTGTTCACCGATCCGGAAGCCACAAGTTGGACAATGCCAAGTGACTACTACTTCAAGGCTTTGATGCTGAAACCTCGTGAGGGAAACGTGCAGGGATACATTAATTACGAAACCAGGATGACATATTTGTCAAATAATAATCACAATGACAAAAGTATTCCTAAGAGTTGGTATGAAGAATTTTATCAGAGACATTTCAAATGCAGACTATCAGATGCCGATGTTGTAGTGACTGAGTTCACGAGGGAATGTACCAGGGGGGAAAATTTCAATGGTGCTTATAATGCTACACAGGACCGCTACACTTTATCAACAGTGGCAGCTAGCTATGCTCTGGTTAATGGGCTCTATGATTTCCGTGGTGCGAACTGTGGAACACAGACCACTCAGGACTGTTTGGCGTCACTTTCAACGGCCAGGGAACGTATGTTTAGTAGCCTGTTAAATATATCTTCAGTTCCATTACATGAGATAGCGAACATCAACACTGGGGGCGACTTCAACCTTTTCTTCAACAAGGAGAGATTCTGGGATGCTGGGTATGTCATCGTCGCGTACGACTCCAGAAAAAGTGCTCCAAGTGAAGAGGTGTGTTTGAAAAACTAGTTTTTTCTCCATTTTAAAACAACAAAGTTCTATGCTTCTTCTGTCTGATACGATGTATAGTCTAAGACGTTACCAGCTGGATAAAACGCAAATGCAACAGTACGTTACTGCCAAAGCACGAATCATAATCAAACATATCATAATCAGAACATCTCAGAATTCTGATACACTATAAAAACGTGTCTGATCGTCGGCGCCTCAGATAGCAGAATGTGTACATTTGTTTCTGTTCAATTTCAGATTGGTGACTGGGGAAGCAACGCTTTGACTGTAAATAACAAGGGCAGTTTGTCCACATTCCTCTCCAACTGCCCATCGAACCAGGAATGCGGCTGCGCAAAACCAACAGAACCTACAACACTTCCGCTGAAAGGACCATCCTACACAGGTCCAAGAAATTACTACAAGTATGCTGATGACGGAACAAGGATCTATGACTGGCCTGTATGGGCTATAGTTGTGGCGGTGCTCACCAGTATCGGCATACTCGTCACTATCATCATAACGCTGGTCCTTCTGCTCACCTACCCCATCAGGGGGGGTACAACCATCCTCGGTTTCATGGTCCTCTTGGGCATCTTGGGCATCTACGGGGTCAACTTCGCCTTCTTCCTCCCCGCCTCCTTCGAAACGTGTGCAGCTCGGCGGTTCTGCATGGGTGTTATCTATATGATTGTATTTGCTTCCTTACTTGTCAAAGCAGTAGACAATTGGAGGTACGGGGAACTGTCATGGGAAAATCAGAAGAAGTATCGCGGTCTAACAAGCGCCTGTTCTCTTTTCATGATTGCCGTGGGCATTGTTCTAGTACAGGCGATAATCCCCATAATGTGGATCATCCTCATCCCGCCTACAGCGTCTAGGGTGATGGACGTCAACGGGAATGTTGCAGACCTCCTGCATGACCACATGTGGTGCGACCCGACGGATATGTATGACATTGCCTTAGTCCTGTCCTTCATCTTCGTCATGTTCATCGTCCTGTTGACGTCGATATTCTCGGCGATGGCGTGGGACAGCGAGGTAAACAACAGGGAGTCCAGGTGGATCCTCATCGCCTGCATCTGCACGGCTGGCTGTTTCCTGGTGTGGATGATCGTCACAACTAGTGCTGGACCCACGTATCGAGACCCTGCTGTCGCCATTGCCAACTTCGTTAACGCTACAGCACTCCTCATCTGCCTCCCCCTCCGCAAGACTTCTCTGCTCATAGCCTACAAGAGGGACGAGAAATTAGATAAAGAAGACCCAGGTACGTTATAACTAATAAGGTACTATAATTTTACTACTTATTATGTATTTCTTCGAAATATCTTTATTAATATTTTTAAATAAATATTGACATAAAGATAAATATAAACATATTATTGTTGGTAAAATAAAGGCATTAGAGAAAACAAATAAGGAAATGATGGTAGAAGGTATCAGTTGATTGGCAGAAACTACCGTGTGTGCAGATTGTTCAACAGGTTTGTTCACATGGTTTTAGTTTGTGTCTAAGTTTGCCGACACGAAATTTCCTCTTGAAGAAGACAGTGAACAGACAGTGCATTAATGTTCCTGTGTAGTTTACAGTCAGAATATATATTGAGTCGCCAGCTGAAACACTGTTGCGCGTGCACCACTGGTGTGCAATCGTGTTAATGTTATGTAAATAAAAACGTTTGATGATTTAGACATGAATTTAATTATTTGAGGGATAAATATTGTTTTCACAACTTCTTCCCCTAAAGAACCTTGTTACAGATATATGTATACGTATATTGGTAATCACTGTTTATCTAATTCCTTTCAGGTGACTACGAAATTTACAGCCAACCCACTGTTGAATATACTAACAATGCATACGATCCAGATTATGACTTCCAGAGACAGGACTCGAAGCAAGATTCGGATGTTGGTTTCTAGACCAAACAGGCAGAATTAGGTAGGCCGCATAGGCGCAGACGACAAAGCCTAGAAATACTCTTCTTGTTTGACGACCGAAAATAGTTTTGTACAAATTTGAAACAAGACCCTGTTTGGTGGTTATTATTTGTTTATACTTACATCTCAACGGGTATAAAGATCATTGTACAACGACATTTAAGTATGTTCATTTCTGATTGGCTATTACTAAAAAATTAGTTGTGAAAATTTTTCAATAACCACTGCTGAGAGCCGGTTCACTGCGCGTTCACACGCAAGGGTAATGAGTGCATATTTAAAACACGTTTTATTCATGGTGCATATGTCAGGTAGAATGGAGATAATCCTATTGTGTTTACATTTTGGAAGTGATTATAGTTGGTTGAACGCTGCTAAATGTTTCATTTAAATGAAATTGACCACTTTTGAACCAGAAAACATTTTCTTTTTAATTAAAGTTTACCTTCTGATTGGCGTGTATACATTCAGTTCCTGTGCTGCATACTGTCTACCTTCGTCTAGTGTATAGAGCTCCTCCCCAATGAAACCCGTGAAGATCCGGGTTAGAATTGATCTTCAGTAACCCATGCTTGTCGTAAGAGGCAACTAACGGGATCGGGTGGTGTGACACATATATCATCGTATATTCTAATTGCGTAGATCGATGCTCATGCTGTTGATCACTGGATTGCCTCAATTATTTACAAACCGATTATTTACAAACCGCCGCCATATAGCTGGAATACTGCGGCTTAAAACTAAAGGGCTGTGTTTCGATCATTCGCCTCGTCATATCAAATGACATCAGTCCGGTATTTGATGTTACCGGTATCGGTATAAGGGGAGCTGGACGTCTGGGGGTCTATATACGGTCAATGTTAAGCGGCAGTGTAATATCCTCGGCAGCAGTCCAAAGTGATACGAGATCACACACGCACATGCACACATGCATGCACATCACGTGGACCCCACTTCACCTCTTACTTTTACTGCATATCACTCTAATGGCAAATGTTTTTCGTTGCAGGTTCATCCATGCGTTCGTATTGCGTTGTGGACCCAGAATACGTCACAAGAAAGGAGCAAGCGCGTGCACAACTGGGGATATGCAGCAGGCCACACATCCTGATATCACTGATTGTGTTGCCATGGTTACCATGAAACTCATGAAACTATTCATTCCATCGTTGTAGATACATAATGTAGATTTATGTGTATATAAATGTTATCAATGTACATGTACCTACAAGAGAACCTTCCCCAAATGAAGTATTTCTGAATTTGATTTGAAAGTGGCCAAACTGTAAAGTGTTTATTGCAAGTAAACTGATATTCGATAATTCCCAGCAAATCGGTGCTCGACGTATGTATATAATAAAACTTTTGTACAGAAAAGGGTCTTGATGAAATTACTTTGAAACCTGTGGCAAAATTCTTGTGATAAAATGTATTAAATTTTTGTCTCAATCTTGCATAGGAACATTAACAGATATTTATCGCTTGCATATTGATATCGTGAGCAGTTGTAAATTGCAAGTTTTTATAACACAAATCCACAAATATATAACTGCATACAGGAACGTCTGAATGGATTTTGGATGTGACAGTATAAAAATATATATATAGAAACATTTATACGTGAAAATGATTGTATATACTTACCATGAATTAAATATTTTTATATTATACTTTTGTCATGTTTTATTTGTTTGCAAACATTGGGAGACTTCATTTGGATGTGTAGTTATTGCATCCTAAATTTCCAAATAATTTGTTCTCTATGGCGTTGCATCAACATGACATCGCCACACTGCACACAGTTTGTGTCACTGTTGTCCTCCGCCATTCTAGCGGATCTGGGCGGACGGGTAAATAGCCAAGTGGCTAAAGCGTTCGCTCATCACGCCGAAAACCCGGGTTCGATTCCCCACATGGGTACAATGTTTGAAGCCCATTTCTGGTGTTCCCCGCCGTGATACTGCTGGAATATTGCTATAAGTGGCGTAAAACCATACTCACTCACTTACGGATCTCACCCCGATAGAGCACGTGGGGGATGAACTCGACATGAGTGCATAACGTCAACATAGGCCACAGACACTTGCACAACTGAAGAATGGGTGAGAATTCAATAGGACAGAATCCGTAGACATCAGTGCTAAGGAGGTGTAGAGTAGTGATAACAGAGATCAGCAAATTATGTTCGTGTAGAAGTCGTATATATAACTATCTGTCCTTGGTGCTGTGAAGAACTATGAAGAATGTGGCAATGTGACATGGTTATCGTGCAGAGAGTGAATGATGTGACATCGTTATCGTGCAGAGAGTGAATGATGTGACACGGTTACCATCCAGACTGAATGATGTGACACGGTTACCATGCAGACTGTGAATGATGTGACACGGTTACCATGCAGACTGTGAATGATGTGACACGGTTACCATGCAGACTGTGAATGATGTGACACGGTTACCATGCAGACTGTGAATGATGTGACACGGTTACCATGCAGACTGTGAATGATGTGACACGGTTACCATGCAGACTGTGAATGATGTGACACGGTTACCATGCAGACTGAATGATGTGACACGGTTACCATGCAGACTGTGAATGATGTGACACGGTTACCATGCAGACTGTGAATGATGTGACACGGTTACCATGCAGACTGTGAATGATGTGACACGGTCACCATGCAGACTGTGAATGATGTGACACGGTTACCATGGAGACTGTGAATGATGTGACACGGTTACCATGCAGACTGAAGGGTATGACACGGTTACCATCCAGACTGAAGGGTGTATATACTACGCTCACAAGGAGTAATAGTAAAACAACGATTATGTTGGTGGTTAATATGTACCATTACGAATGCCATGTCCCAAACAAATAGTAGACAGATAGTTGTATAAAAGGATTATGAAAACAGAATACACATTGCAACAATTAATAGAGTATTGGCCACATTTTAACACATGGTTTCATAATGCCTTGATAAAATACCAAATGAAAGATACAGTCTGTTTTCGCTTGAGAAATTCTTATATATATGAGAATGGCACACTTTAATTATTAGCTGGTCTTATGTTGTGAGAGACACATTGTTAGATGCGCCTTGTCAGGAGCTGTTACTGGAGGCTGACATGTATATAGGATAAGTCGATGCAGGTAGGGCTACTGGGCAGACATGCCGCTATCGTTGTTTTCATTACGTAGTGGGGTCATGCCAAAAGTAGGTAGCAGTGAACTAATGTTTAAATATATTTTATTGATATTTGAGATTTTGAATGGGTATAGATTAATTAGAGTCACCCATTAACACACATTTTACAAGTTCCCGATCATATAATTAAAGATGAGAAAGTGTCATTGTGTTACCTGCAACATGGAAATCCAGAGTTAGATTACAAGTATACAAGTATACTCAAAGGCAAATGTTATTGTGACACAAAGCCAACAAGCAGAATCCGTGTTAAATCTTCACGTGAAAAGACAGGATTCAGATGACGTCGTAAACGTCTCTCAATGCCATCCCAGACATGTCCGATAGGTGACAAATCTTGCAGGCCAGGGTAGTGACACATAACAATGTTCTGATTAAAATACTGCTGTACAGCTCGTCTCGGTACCATACATCATTCTCGTTTATCTCAATCACAATCAGTGAAGCTGTAGATGTTATCCTACCCCAGATCATAACGACCCCACCCCCAAAACACTCCCCTTCCTGGAACACATGGCCTCATAAACACCTATTCTCACGAAATGTGCACCATTTGTAATTTTACGTGTCTATAAAAAATTACGTTCCTACTGATTTCACCTGTTCATTTCATGTTTATATTAGTCGACAGGCTTGGTAGGTATCCGAGACATAGAAATTCTTAATGGTCTGTTATTCATGTGCGTGACTCAAGGTAAAAAGTTAGTCAAAATCACCAAAATGTGCATGTCTCCAATGATAGTATAACATTTTGAGTGAATATTTCAAAGTAATTATGTATCTAGTGTGAACAAATCAGAATTCATTTTCGACTTAAGATATTGTCCCTTCCGTCCATACCCAGAGCTTATTTTCATATGGTTTAATTTTTTAAGAATTTATGTTTAATGTGATGTCTCCATAAAGATGTAATCCACGCTACCCCATTATAATGACCATATCATTATTTTTTAAATTATATGTATTCATTAGATAGTATGCCTTATTTACAGTTTTAGGTTGGGACAATACAATATCAGTATCCTTGCCACTAAATTTCAGCCGATTTTTCACCATGAACTTTCACACGTTTAAAGTTAAAAATATTTAAGGATGTAATCTACGTGACCACCATAATATAAAAACGGTACATCCAGTGTCACCAAAAAGGTTTTAAAATGAGTGGACCTATTCAGTACTAATAACTAAGTGAAGGAGATGCTGTTCCTTTACACTTTATACGTTTGGTGGGAGCTAAAGGACGTCTTTGTAACTTACGTTATGTAATCTACGTGACCGCATTTCCAAAGGAGCATCATCATTGCACACATGAGTAACGTACATTTGGCACTGACCGTCCACTGGTTCCAGAAGTAATATTGGCGCAGTCATCCAAGTACCAAAACACATGGCATGACGGACATTTTATTCAGTGGCGTGATTGTCCAGTGACACTTTACAGTTTATCACACACTATCAGGGCTACTCAGGTAAGACAGATTATGGATCTAAAGTTATGGCATGAACTCTTCTAAACATTAAATTATTATTTACTTTTAATTGGCTTATCATGGTTGATATTCTACATCAAACTAAGCAGGTAACGTGATTACAGTTTGGATGGGTTTTCACTGTGCTTCTATACTGTCTGTACTTTAAACAGTTGATAACCTGTGTACCTGTCAATGTAAGTCTGTGTAATAGTATAGCAACATTTCACCAATAATATTTCTAAATTTTATATAGATATGATCGTGTTTCGGTAACGTAGATTGCAAGATTTGTATATAATGGCCAAGTTTTGTTGTTTATCACAATATAATACAGATGAAACTGATGTGAATTATATCTCCAGTAACACTTAGTTAAAAATACCCGTATGTATAGTAAGTTTGATGATCAGTTTATGCAAATAAGTTTAACCAATCATGATGGGGGATCTTCGTTTTTCCTTGACATCTGACTTTTGATAGTTTGAACATTGGGAACAATAAATAATGTTCTAACAATAAAATGACTTATCATATATTCATCGGAATATTTTAGCAGTGCAAGTTATCAGTTAGTGCACATTTCGTGAGAATAGGTGAAAACGAGTACCTGTGCACGTGTAGACAAATGTCCTGTCGTCACCTCTGTGAAGGAGAAAACGTGTACCTGTGCACGTGTAGACAAGTGTCCTGTCGTCACCTCTGCGAGGAGAAAACGTGTACCTGTGCACGTGTAGACAAGAGTCCTGTCGTCATGTCTGTGAAGGAGAAAACGTGTACCTGTGCACGTGTAGACAAGTGTCCTGTCGTCACCTCTGTGAAGGAGAAAACGTGTACCTGTGCACGTGTAGACAAGTGTCCTGTCGTCACCCCTGTGAAGGAGAAAACGTGTACCTGTGCACGTGTAGACAAGTGTCCTGTCGTCACCTCTGTGAAGAGAAAACGTGTACCTGTGCACGTGTAGACAAGTGTCCTGTCGTCACCTCTGTGAAGGAGAAAACGTGTACCTGTGCACGTGTAGAAAGTGTCCTGTCGTCACCTCTGTGAAGGAGAAAACGTGTACCTGTGCACGTGTAGACAAGTGTCCTGTCGTCACCTCTGTGAAGGAGAAAACGTGTACCTGTGCACGTGTAGACAAGTGTCCTGTCGTCACCTCTGTGACGGAGAAAACGTGTACCTGTGCACGTGTAGACAAGTGTCCTGTCGTCACCTCTGTAAGGAGAAAACGTGTACCTGTGCACGTGTAGACAAGTGTCCTGTCGTCACCTCTGTGAAGGAGAAAACGTGGCTCATCGGTGATTGGTTTGTTGGTCTGTTGTTTAACGCCACACTCAGCAATATTCCAGCTATATGACGGCGTTCTGTAAATAATTGAGTCTGGACAAGACAATCAAGTGATCAACAGCATGAGCATCGATCTACCCAACTGGGATACGATGACATGTGTCTACCAAGTCAGCGAGTCTGACCACCCGATCCCTTTATCATGTACAAGAAATATAAATACATGTAGATGTCTCGGCATGTTTAACACCGACCTCGCTAAACTTCCTAATCCTTGCAACTTCAACGAAACGATAAAGGGTAGAGTTTTTTTTAAAGGATTTTAAATAAAATTCACAATTAATTGACGTCTTCAATTAGACGTAGCATGACATTCTAGGACTTGCCAATAATTCATTATCCCGGATTTGCTGAATATTTCTCTTTACCGTTTTTGAAATTCACATATAATATATTCTTGTTTGCATATATTTGGAATGACAACACACCCGCAAATCCTAATCTACAAAAACAATGGGTCTTCGGTTATCCTCAGCATTTCCAACTAGTATTTTACATATTTCCTGCACTCATCTAGTACAGTGATCCTCGATAATCTCCAGGGTATACGTTACGATAACTCTCGTGTGAAGCCCATTTGTCTGGTGTCCCCAGCCGTGATATTGCTGGAATATTGCTAAAAGCGGCGTAAAACCATACTCACTCACTGGATGCATCCACGGCTAGGCCCGATGATTTTATTACCTCCCTTTGCTGGCTCCGCATTCTCACAGTAGCCAATCAGATAAGCCGCCATTACAACCGAGCTTGCCAGTGTCAACAAAAACAGCGGTCGCAGCCGCAAAACTTTAATTTGTTCGCAGTGCGACTCAGATTTGGGGGGAAAACATGCAGACAAATTTACAGGTCTGAAACCTAAAAAAATATATTCAAGAACTCCTTCTTTCAGAGTATCTGCAACAATATATTATTGTGTTGAAAAGTTTAATCGGTTAGATAATTTAAAAAGCGAAAGTGAGTTGCGGTACGCTCAACTTCCCAGCGTAGACACCTGATTGGATAAAAAGCCAACCAAGGGAGGTAATAAAGTCATCGGGCCGAGCCGTAGATGCATCCAGGGTATAGTGGAGAGTTATCGTAACGTATACGCTGGAGATTATCGAGGATGCTAGTACAGCATGATTGGAAACTGAGGGTCAGGCATAAACGTGAGCCATGTCTAGCTTTTCCGTATTTTGAAAACCCCATATGTCTGCGCCATAAAAAAGGGCAGGCAGTGTTTTGCCATCAAACAGTTTAAATTAGAAGTGTAGGATCTATACGGCGTTAATGTGGCCATATCTGGCAGCGCATTTATTCATGTGAACCTGTGTCGGAGGTGCGTGGTTCGGTTGCGAGAGCGGCCACTACGGCTTGGGGAGTTTGCTGAATGGTGTTTCTATGGACGTTGAATCAACGAGTATACACATGCTGCGAGCTTCCAGACTGACGCATAACTCTCAATCTGTCATTTACTCTAATATAAAGCGTGGCGTGTCATACTTGTTCCAGAACGATGAGTGAGAGAGTGAGTAGGGTCTGACGCCGCTTTTAGCAATATTCCACCAATGTCACGGCGATGGACACTACAACATTGGAGCTACAATACGTACAGCATGTGCGTGAAAATGCTAACCAATGACAGTGAGTGAGTTTAGTTTCACGCCGCTTTTAGCAATATCACGACGGGGGACGCCAGAAATGGGCTACACACATTGTACCCATGTGGGGAATCGAACCCGGGTCTTCGGTGTGACGTGCTGACGTTTTAACCACTAGGCTACCCCAGCGCACCAGAACGACGAATACAGTTGTTTTACTTCTTCGACCAATTTAACACACTCTTTCCGTGGACCCGTGAAGATCCGGGTTAGAATTGATCTTCAGTAACCCATGCTTGTCGTAAGACTCATGAATCCCCACTCTTTCCGGGATCGCAGTAGCCCATGGGTCAGGCTTGCTGACTTGGTGGACACATTCCATCGTATTCCAATTGTTCATGCTGTTGATCACTGGATTGTCTGGTCCAGACTCGATTATTTACAGACCGCCGCCATACAGCTGGAATATTGCTGAAAATATTCTTTTGTTTACACATATTATTGTACAACTTCTTGATAAAATGCCCTGCCATTACCACCGTTCCCTTCTAAAACAATGATACACGCAACGTTTCCATTGTATATTTTGTTCCGATTTGATATGAAATAAGCGAGAAAGTAATGTGATTGGCTCTTAAGTACTTTGTCACCAAATTAACGAAGAGTCATCCTTGCAATACCTTTCTGATCTTACGAACATGAAAGTGATTTAATATTCAGATGACACTCTATGTGCGAAAGAGGTGCAGAATAATTGTTTTTAAGCTTTTTTATTTAAACTGAATGTGGTGGGAAAACTGGGCAGAAATGAGCTTACTGAAATATAGAAGTAATTATCAGCATGAATACACATTTCTTTTTTAAGTGGTCAAATGCAACATATATGTTTTAGGTGAAATCTTTGAAGGGCATTTCGAAGAGGAATGTATAAGAAAAGCAGGATTTATGAATGTCAACTTCTTATTGTGAATAACACGACGTTTTGCAGTGTATGCACCTGATGAAGGAGCCAGCATACACTCCGAAACTTCACAATAAGAAGTTGACATCCATAAATCTTAAAGTCCTGGATGGGATCAACCCAAACAATACTAGAATCTGCACTACACCGAAAAAATGTAATCTCAAATAAAACATATGTTATTTTTACAAGAACATCCACAATATTAGTTTCAAATCATCTCGACAACAACATTGTTGATGTTCCAGTTTGTCCAATATGTATTTGTGTAAAAGAAGCATCTCATATACAAAAGTGTTCCGAGTCGTAGTGAGGTTTTTTGTTAGCGGCTGATGGTAGAGTCTTTGTGCAGAAAATTGAGAGTAACGTCCCCTTCAACCGGAACAACATTTCTGCCATCCCTTGACGTCGGCTAAAAATAGACGGGAACTTGTCGGACTGGTTTGAGAACCGGGAAACCACGGTATAATGAGCCGATATTGTCAACAGCATGGGCAGGTTATTTCTGGATGCAATCATAGAGCATTCTACACCCAGCTCACAACCTGTTTTATCGGGGAAGGGCCAAAATCGCTGGGCCGGTTTGCGGGTGGAACGTAAAGGATATCCAAGTATTAACGTCAAAAAGGAGGCAGCAGTTCTTCGGATTCAATCGGACCGTTTGGTCCCAGTTTCTGGATTTAATGTCAGAGTGAAAATAAGGTAATTAATTATATGGTGGTTGTATTTTGTAATGGCAATTATGAATGAGGTCTACAGAAACAGGTAGCCTACCTGTGCAAGGTAATGGGTTCGGGAGGGGCATACGAGTGTAATCACTGGGTAAATATGATGTGTCTATATGTTATTATGATCATGTCAGTTGTAAATATTTTTTAGAATTTGAATTCGGAGCTGCATTTTGTTATTTGACTTTGTGGAATCGGCGAATAATTAACGAAAATTCTGTAGTGTTTACGTTTTCAGTTTGCACGTTTCTGTATGTAACTCACTACATAACCCATCATAGGTATACAGGCAAGTTTGAAATTCCAATTTGACCTCATGATGTTAAGCACTTAAAATACCCATCTAATTTTTTAAATTGATAACAGTTATTCCATGACCATCTGATAATCACAAGGAAAATAATTCTACATACATTTTCACACTTTCAAAAAAATGCTACCTTTCACCATATTGGATTATGGTTGACACCCAAGACATATTATTTAAAGATAGGCCTATTTATTTTTTAGGTTTTGGTTCGCAAAATAACATCATTTCAAGAGGATGTTCTTTGTAATATCAAAAGAAACTACCTACAATGCAATACCTGACCATAGTTATAGAATCTCATTTCAAGAAGTATTGTTGCTGCAAAATAATCATGATTACAGTGTTGAAATAAGAAAACTAAGGTCCTTGAAAATTTCTCCTATAGTCTTTTTTGTAGGATCCCCCTAAATCTTGACAATGTTAGATTTGTATGAAAGGACTCTTTGACTTTCATTTTTAATACTGAATATTACTTTCTTAATATGTAGTTGCACAGAAGCTGATTTCCAACAACAAAGGCTTTGCTATACATGCTGTTCTGTGTGAAGAATTTAGTTTGTTATGTTGGGTGTGCTGTTTTCAATATTTTATAAAGGAAGAATGTTCTTTGAAAATGTATAGAATAGTTTGTCCAAAGCACAGTAAACTGCATATATATATTTTTTTCTAATTGCTAAAACAATTTATGATTCCATAATTTCAATTTGTTTTCTCAGTGGCTGAAAAATGGTTTCACTATATGGAGCCCTGGTGATGACAGTGACCTGTCTGACGCTGGTCGCGAGTCAAGGGCTGAGTCGACAAAGCTGTGATCCCGCCAAGTCACAGGCGTCCATACAGTCCGGTGCTGATGCTATCATTGGAGGGGTCTTTTCGATGCATGAAGAAGGAACAAATGGATTTGGCTGTGGAAAGATTACTTCAGGTGAGACATCTTTCATGTGTGATGAAAATGATGAAGAGAATAGAAGAGATTCCCAATACATCAGATGGGACCAGTTAATTGATATATAGGCATGACAGTGGCAGTTACAATTTATGGTAAAATCATCAGAGGTACAGATATGCTGTGTATCTGCTGTAAATTACGCAAATATTTATGTGAAAACTCAATTCCAATTACGTCTATTGCTTACTAGTACGCTTGAATTTTTGTAAATACTCAATAAATTTGATTTTATATGCATACAGACAAAAATGTCAAATTGTAGCTTACGTACCAGTGGATAGATAAAATAACTGTGGTATATTGAGAGGTTTTATTTCAACACATTAAATTGGCAATTTGCAGTACTAGTCTTCCTTATCGTTTCATATATTACAAATCAAATATAAATAACAAACACATAAACCAACATTTAAACTTTATTATATTTTAACAATTAATGGAAATGGCAAAATACCCAATTGAGTTTGAGTGAGGTGGGTAAAGTTTATTAGGTTATTATCCAGGATACCCAATTGAGATGAACAGAAGTGAGTACACAACTCAATGACCCAAAGTTGTCTGTAGCTCTGAATCATTGATACTGTTTTTGAAATCAGTTAATAGCTATGATTATTAGCACTCCTCAGAATTGTCAGTTAGCAACAAGATTTAGCAATGTATCAGGGTTTATATGATTAACAGATAGTTAGCATTCATGACATACCTCATTACCATTGTCGAGATAACAGTAGTACAAACTAATTTGTCTAAATGACTCTTGTCACTGTAAATATTACAGAATTCTGTAAGTATTTGACTGTGGAAACCTAAACCAAAGTGTTCTGATTTAGAATAAGTTTACAATAACCTACCCTTGCTGTACAAACTGAGTACATGGCTCGTTCGGTCATACTCTGTGACTTGGATACCCATGAAGATCGGGTTAGAATTGGTCTTCAGTAACTCATGCTTATCATAAGAGGCGACTAACGGGATTGGGTGGTCAGACTTGCTGACTTCTCCTACAGACAGGTAGGCACAATGACTAGTCCATGCTGTTGATCACTGGATTGTTTGGTCCACTCATTATTTTCTAATAGATATGAATATTGCTGATTGCGGCGAAACACTAAACTCACTCACTCACTCACTGTGACTTGGATGAATGTGTTTTGCCATATCCTTATCATGTCATTGTGGGGAACATTGATCAAAATGTTTATCTCCTGCTTGTTTGAGTAAGTTTGATTATTAAGAGACTGTTGTTATTTTGCAGAAATGTTGATGAGTGCTTCTAACATAAACTCACAAGGCTATGATTAGTCCTGTTTTAGCGTGTATAACAGATGGCTTGGCAGAATTTCTGCAGTTGTGTGCTGTGATTAATTGTTGAGGTGATGAAAAAAATTCACTCTGCAATTTCTGGAATATCTATTGTTAAATGTTTAAATTCATCATGTTTATCGGTCATTGTATTTACCTGTCTGTAGGACTAGTCATCATGTCTACCTGTCTGTAGGACTAGTCATCCTGTCTACCTGTCTGTAGGACTAGTCATCCTGTCTACCTGTCTGTAGGACTAGTCGTTCTGTCTACCTGTCTGTAGGACTAGTCATCCTGTCTACCTGTCTGTAGGACTAGTCTTCCTGTCTACCTGTCTGTTATGTATATATTTGTTGCAATTGCAGTGAATGTTTGTCTGTGTTCAGATATGCAGGCCTATGAAGCAATCCGGTGGGCGCTGGATCTGATCAACAAGAAGGACCAGAAGCTGAACGGTGAAAACCTCACCAATACTTACATCCCTGGCATCAAGTTAGGTGAGTAGTTACATCTTCAGTTGTCTTATTGTCAGAAATATTGACATTTATTGTGAGTGCTATGCCAACAGCTTTCTGTCGAACACTTCAAGAATCAGACCATAGCCACTGCCAACTCTTGAAACAAGTTTCAGACCACAGCCACTGCCAACTCTTGAAACAAGTATCAGACCACAGCCATTGCCAACTCTTGAAACAAGTATCAGACCACAGCCATTGCCAACTATTGAAACAAGTTTCAGACCATAACCACTGCCAACTCTTGAAACAAGTATCAGACCATAGCCACTGCCAACTCTTGAAACAAGTATCAGACCATAGCCACTGCCAACTCTTGAAACAAGTATCAGACCACAGCCACTGCCAACTCTTGAAACAAGTATCAGACCATAGCCACTGCCAACTCTTGAAACAAGTATCTGACCATAGCCACTGCCAACTCTTGAAACAAGTATCAGACCACAGCCATTGCCAACTCTTGAAACAAGTATCAGACCACAGCCATTGCCAACTATTGAAACAAGTTTCAGACCATAACCACTGCCAACTCTTGAAACAAGTATCAGACCACAGCCACTGCTAACTCTTGAAACAAGTATCAGACCACAGCCACTGCTAACTCTTGAAACAAGTATCAGACCACAGCCACTGCCAACTCTTGAAACAAGTATCAGACCACAGCCATTGCCAACTCTTGAAACAAGTATCAGACCACAGCCACTGCTAACTCTTGAAACAAGTATCAGACCATAGCCACTGCTAACTCTTGAAACAAGTATCAGACCATAGCCACTGCCAACTCTTGAAACAAGTATCAGACCACAGCCACTGCCAACTCTTGAAACAAGTATCAGACCACAGCCACTGCTAACTCTTGAAACAAGTATCAGACCACAGCCACTGCCAACTCTTGAAACAAGTATCAGACCACAGCCATTGCCAACTCTTGAAACAAGTATCAGACCACAGCCACTGCTAACTCTTGAAACAAGTATCAGACCATAGCCACTGCCAACTCTTGAAACAAGTATCAGACCACAGCCACTGCCAACTCTTGAAACAAGTATCAGACCATAGCCACTGCCAACTCTTGAAACAAGTATCAGACCACAGCCACTGCCAACTCTTGAAACAAGTATCTGACCATAGCCACTGCCAACTCTTGAAACAAGTATCAGACCACAGCCACTGCTAACTCTTGAAACAAGTATCAGACCATAGCCACTGCCAACTCTTGAAACAAGTATCAGACCACAGCCACTGCCAACTCTTGAAACAAGTATCAGACCACAGCCACTGCCAACTCTTGAAACAAGTATCAGACCACAGCCACTGCCAACTCTTGAAACAAGTATCAGACCACAGCCACTGCCAACTCTTGAAACAAGTATCAGACCATAGCCACTGCCAACTCTTGAAACAAGTATCAGACCATAGCCACTGCCAACTCTTGAAACAAATATCAGACCACACTCTCAGTCCCTACGCAAGGATTTGGGGTTGACTGGTTTGAAATTATTATGGTTATGTATTGGCAACAATTATAGGGGGTTATATGCTATGTTATATTCTTAACAGTCTTTACTAGACTCCGACTGTGGACCAGTGACTAAAGTTGCAGACTGTACTGACGTTCCAGTATGATATTGATCTGTGATGCTTGTCCCTATTTGCAGGTATGAACATCCGTGACTACTGCGGCTGGAGTGAGGGGGCGCTGTCAGCAGCGCAGAACTTCTATCCCCAGTTCTCCTCCAACTCCCGGGCCTGTAACCAGACAACTTCAGGAATCACTCTAGGTAATTCCACCATCATTCTCTACACAGATTACACCTGTGAAGATCCGGGCTAGAATTGATCTTCAGTAACCCATGCTTGTCATAAGAGGCGACTAATGGGATTGGATGGTCAGGCTCACTGACTTGGTTGACCACATGTCTTCGGTTCCGAATTGCACAGATCAATGCTCATGCTGTTGATCACTGGATTGTCTGGTCCAGACTCAATTATTTACAGACAGCTGCCATATAGCTTGAACATTGCTGATTTTGGCGTCAATCTAAACTCAAACTCACCCTCTCACTCTACACAGAGTACACACAAGTCTCCACAAACATTATACACAAGATAGATCCTATTCATCTCTTGTTATGCTTTTTTATGTAATTGAACTTGGGCAGAAATAGCAGAGTTGGTTTTTGGCATGTATATTATACTGAGTATTTATTTTTCTCATTTTCAAAGGAACATAATTTTGAGGTATGACTTAAGGTACTGGGCCCCGTTTCACAAAGCTATCGTAGCGCTACAACTGTCGTACCGCCTATACTGTAGCATAGACTTACAACTGTCGTACCGCCTATACTGTAGCATAGACTTACAACAGTCATAGCACTTCGATAGCTTTGTGAAGCGGGGCACAGATGTGCATAATGTATGACTTAAGCATCATAAACCAAATAGGAAAACTCTAAAAAATAGATGTTAGCACAACTGCACTGTTAATACTTTGCTAACAATAGAAAATAAGAGCATTTAGTTTAAAATGTCAATGGATATTGTTGTTCTTTGTTCTATAAATTAGTGTTGCTGGTGATGTTATTATAACATTGATTTAAATCCCTTTACGACAAACCCCCAAGTTTTCCTTTATACATTTTTAGACAGAATACATACCCATTACAGTATGAAGAATTTACAAACTTCACTGAAGATTTGATGTAACTACAATATATGATTGCTCCACCACCAGGTATTGTCGGGGCTTCAGACAGCGATGCAAGTAAGGAAGTATCCAACTTAGCCCAAAACTTCAACATCCCTGTGGTGTCCTTCATGGCCACTGCCCCTGAGCTGAGCAGTGCCCAGCTGTACCCCACCTTCATGAGGACAATCCCCCCAGACGGACCACTCATGGATGTAAGTAGTGAGAAACTGGGGTAATGTCAGTAAGATCTAGCACTCCATGGATGTAAGTAGTGAGAAACTGGGGTAATGTCAGTAAGATCTAGCACTCCATGGATGTAAGTAGTGAGAAACTAGGGTAATGTCAGTAAGATCTAGCACTCCATGGATGTAAGTAGTGAGAAACTGGGGTAATGGTAGATCTAGCACTCATGGATGTAAGTAGTGAGAAACTGGGGTAATGTTAGATCTAGCAATCATGGTTGTAAGTATAGAGAAACTGGGGTAATCTTAGATCTAGCACTCATGGATGTGAGTAGTGAGAAACTGGGGTAATGTTAGATCTAGCACTCATGGATGTAAGTAGTGAGAAACTGGGGTAATCTTAGATCTAGCACTCATGGATGTAAGTAGTGAGAAACTGGTGTAATGTTAGATCTAGCACTCATGGATATAAGTAGTGAGAAACTGGGGTAATGTTAGATCTAGCACTCATGGATGTAAGTAGTGAGAAACTGGGGTAATGTTAGATCTAGCACTCATGGATATAAGTAGTGAGAAACTGGGGTAATGTTAGATCTAGCACTCATGGATGTAAGTAGTGAGAAACTGGGGTAATGTTAGATCTAGCACTCATGGATATAAGTAGTGAGAAACTGGGGTAATGTTAGATCTAGCACTCATGGATGTAAGTAGTGAGAAACTGGGGTAATGTTAGATCTAGCACTCATGGATATAAGTAGTGAGAAACTGGGGTAATGTTAGATCTAGCACTCATGGATGTAAGTAGTGAGAAACTGGGGTAATGTTAGATCTAGCACTCATGGATATAAGTAGTGAGAAACTGGGGTAATGTTAGATCTAGCACTCATGGATGTAAGTAGTGAGAAACTGGGGTAATGTTAGATCTAGCAATCATGGTTGTAAGTATAGAGAAACTGGGGTAATCTTAGATCTAGCACTCATGGATGTAAGTAGTGAGAAACTGGGGTAATGTTAGATCTAGCACTCATGGATATAAGTAGTGAGAAACTGGGGTAATGTTAGATCTAGCACTCATGGATGTAAGTAGTGAGAAACTGGGGTAATCTTAGATCTAGCACTCATGGATATAAGTAGTGAGAAACTGGGGTAATGTTAGATCTAGCACTCATGGATGTAAGTAGTGAGAAACTGGGGTAATGTTAGATCTAGCACTCATGGATATAAGTAGTGAGAAACTGGGGTAATGTTAGATCTAGCACTCATGGATGTAAGTAGTGAGAAACTGGGGTAATGTTAGATCTAGCAATCATGGTTGTAAGTATAGAGAAACTGGGGTAATCTTAGATCTAGCACTCATGGATGTAAGTAGTGAGAAACTGGGGTAATGTTAGATCTAGCACTCATGGATGTAAGTAGTGAGAAACTGGGGTAATGTTAGATCTAGCACTCATGGATGTAAGTAGTGAGAAACTGGGGTAATGTTAGATCTAGCACTCCATGGATGTAAGTAGTGAGAAACTGGGGTAATGTTAGATCTAGCACTCATGGATGTAAGTAGTGAGAAACTGGGGTAATGTTAGATCTAGCACTCATGGATGTAAGTAGTGAGAAACTGGGGTAATGTTAGATCTAGCACTCATGGATGTAAGTAGTGAGAAACTGGGGTAATGTCAGTAAGATCTAGCACTCCATGGATGTAAGTAGTGAGAAACTGGGGTAATGTTAGATCTAGCACTCATGGATGTAAGTAGTGAGAAACTGGGGTAATGTCAGTAAGATCTAGCACTCCATGGATGTAAGTAGTGAGAAACTGGGGTAATGGTAGATCTAGCACTCATGGATGTAAGTAGTGAGAAACTGGGGTAATGTTAGATCTAGCAATCATGGTTGTAAGTATAGAGAAACTGGGGTAATGTTAGATCTAGCACTCATGGATGTAAGTAGTGAGAAACTGGGGTAATGTTAGATCTAGCACTCATGGATGTAAGTAGTGAGAAACTAGGGTAATGTTAGATCTAGCACTCATGGATATAAGTAGTGAGAAACTGGGGTAATGTTAGATCTAGCACTCATGGATGTAAGTAGTGAGAAACTGGGGTAATGTTAGATCTAGCACTCATGGATGTAAGTAGTGAGAAACTGGGGTAATGTCAGATCTAGCACTCATGGATGTAAGTAGTGAGAAACTGGGGTAATGTTAGATCTAGCACTCATGGATGTAAGTAGTGAGAAACTGGGGTAATGTTAGATCTAGCACTCCATGGATGTAAGTATAGAGAAACTGGGGTAATGTCAGATCTAGCACTCATGGATGTAAGTAGTGAGAAACTGGGGTAATGTCAGATCTAGCACTCATGGATGTAAGTAGTGAGAAACTGGGGTAATATCAGATTCTAGCACTCCATGGATGTAAGTAGTGAGAAACTGGGGTAATGTTAGATCTAGCACTCCATGGATGTAAGTAGTGAGAAACTGGGGTAATGTCATGATCTAACCATGGTACCATCTACATTAACAAACCAGTAATTGTGTAAATCTGTTACCCTTTTGTCATGCAAATGTCCTGAGTAATGATATGATTACTCATGTGAATGTTTATTCCAGGTGCTTATTGAAGCTATCAAGAAATTCAACTGGAAGTATATCAGCATAGTTTACACTGACAACTCTCATGGCCGCCAGTCTTACGAAGCAATACGCCCTCGCTTGGTGACTGCTGGTATCTGTTTGACTGCTGCCATCTCCACATCTCCATCCGACACCCAGGACGTCACCATCGACGCTGTCTTAGACCGTCTGCTCCTCACTAAGACAGTAGGAGTCCTGTATTTCGGTACACCCTCAGTAGCGTATGCTCTCCTTGAGCGAAGCAATACAGCTGCATATGCTAACATGGGTAATCTGCAGTGGGTGTTCACAGACAGTATATCACTAACCAAACAATTTGGAACAAATAAATACCCTCGTGGAATTATTTCCATTGTACCTACATCCAGATATATTGTGGAATTTGAAGATCACTGGGTAAGAATAAATGAAAACAATCCATCAGCAGAAAATCCATGGTTCCAAGAATGGTACAGTGAACAGTACGAGTGTTCCTTCCCAACAATTAACAACGCTCAGTTCCCCACACCCTGCAGCAGCAAAATCCAAACAGAGAGCCAGAAACGCGAATCTTTCATCCAGGACCGATTTGTAGAACCAGCAGTACATGCAGTGTATACCTATGCTGTTGCTCTCCGTAATGCACAGAAGGCAATGTGCGTGGGAGCTGAAGCGAACACGTCATGCTCTGCCCTCCGCAGCATGACCTCGAAGACTTTCTTTGAGAACTACCTGATGAAGGTGAACTTCACGTACGGAAAAGAGGAGCGGGTGCCCAGTCTGGCTTCTGACCAGTACGCACCTTACTTCTCAGCAGCTAAGGTCCGCTACAATGAAAATGGTGACATCGTTAACCCTGCCTATGATGTTTGGAACTTCAACGATGCACCAGTCGGTGGGGATAGCCCAGGATTCAAGTTCAGAAGGGTATGTAAGATATGTTTATTGTTGCTTTGTTGTCATTTTCTGATTAAGTATGACACATCTTTGTTTTGTCGAGAAACTTATTGGGAATAATTTTTTGATTTCTACTGATGTCTTCCTCAACATCTGATTAATGATTGCTTATGCTGTTTACTATGAAATACATGATGAAAACAGAAACATTGATTGTTTTCCACATTTGAGGCTTGTCTTCATTATGTTCTATGCTTGCAGGTAGGATCTTGGATCAATGGTATTCTGTCTATGAACATGGATCAAGTGAAGATGTACGACCTTACTCGTGACAATGCAGTGACCCCCCTGCCACCTTCTCCCTGCCCACAGGCTGGATGTACTCCCTGCCTGGGCATGCCTTCCACCACCAAGTATCTCTACATTGATGGAGACATCATCCTCAATGGCATCTTCAGTGTGCACAACCCTGGAGAGGGGCAGTACTCCTGTGGAGCAATGGACCTGAATGCCCGGTCAGGAGTGCAGTACACGGAAGCCATGGTCTACGCGTTGAGAGAAGTTCCCCGCAGGTTCAAGGCCGTCAATCCTCAGTTCCTCAGAGATGTCAGTCTCGGCGGTCTGGGTATTGACGACTGTAAGAGCCGAACGCTGTCTAGAAACTTCATCTCAGATGTTCAAAGAGGCACACTTGTTGTGAAAGATTCTGCCGGGAACACTCTAGACCCTCGAAATGTTGATGCTTATGTTGCTGCACACACCTCAGGCTTGACAATTCCCATTGCTGACTTGATGAATGATGTGAAGAGGCCAGTGTTGGGGTACTCCAGTGCATCAAGTGTGTTGTCTGACCGTAGAAAATACCCCTACTTTCTAAGAGTACATCCTGGAATCGATGAGGAAATGGCAGCCATCATCAATATCTTAAAGAAACAGGGCTGGAACTTTGTTCAAACTGTGTATGTCGAGGGGGATGCTTTCTCATTAAATGGAAATGAAGTGTTCAAGAAAATGGCAGCTGCACATCGTATTTGTGTTGTCGCAAGTCACAGTTACGGAAGTGATATCTTCACCCGTCTCCGAACCCGACCAATGGTCAAACCAGTTCTCGTCATTGCTCATGAAAGTCAGTACAGAGGCTTGCTTGAAAACATGATCAGTTCAAATGCAACTGGAGAGTTTGTCATCCTTGCTAATTCTCCATTTGGGAGGAAACAGAAATTGGTTCGAGGTTTGGAGGAAGCTGCTGATGGTGTCATCTCACTTAAATGGCGTGTCCCTGACCTGACATTTTTCAGCACCTACCTCAGCAGTCTGAGAGTAGATAGTAACCAGCGAAACCCTTGGTTCACTGAATGGTATGAGAACTTGTTTGACTGTTACATCGGACCTCAAAATCCTAACGGAAAAGCAGCGCTATGTGCAGATCGCAACACACCTATTACTCAAGCACCAACTTTTGAGCTTACTGAAGAAAGCATCTTTGTGATCAACTCAGTGTATGCAGTAGCTACTGGACTCCATTCAACCTTGACAGAATACTGCGGTCCCAACTACAGTGGCGTATTGCGGCAACTTCACAAGCTCAGGAACACGCGGAAACCGTTTGTTTGAGAATATCCGAGCTGCAAGGTTCAGTCTTCAAGGATCAAACCCACCAACAGACTTTGCATTCATTGGCTATGAGGGTAACGTCATGATCGACGTGTACAACTACCGACGGAACATTGGCTATATGCTTGTAAGTACACCATAATGTGCAATCACCAAATAGGGACTGCAGCAGTCATTAGGGGTAGCCAGACAATCTGTTTTCAGTTTTACATTTGTACACTTTTAAACAAACATATTTACTGATGTAGTATACACATTCAGCATGTTCACAGGTGGGGGAAAGGTGGACATATATCCGCTTTTCAAAATCCTGAAACCATTCAAAATCACTGAGTGCCAGTGATGAAAGTTGCCAATATTCATTGTGCAAAGTTACCTCCCTTGTTTGTGCCAGAAGCCTATGATTATGGGTTCAAATCCCAGTTCACTCCAGATATGGTTATATATTTGTATGTAAACATCTGAGAACTGCATTAATTCAGGTGGTATGGTAATATTTACCAAGACATTTTCTAAGAATTTTGCTACGTATGAACTACAGTTTATACATTTACCAAAACAGTGACAATATTCTATTTTAAAATAAATGAATAGTTAATTGGCTGTATAATCTTATTAATGAAGTGTTAACTATGTTAAACGTTATTTAAGATTGTTCAGCAATGTGAGTTGTTTGGCCTGCTTCGGTAACCATAACACCTGCACCAGTGATGTGTGTTCTGCTTTTGGTTAGTTGTCATTGTATGTATCTATTTTTTTCCTTAGTTTTCTCATCATACCTTTATTTGTTCTTTTGTAGATGGGAGAATTCAATCCAGAGACATATGGCTACACTGAGAGCATCAGTGCCCTGTTGAATGGAGGAATGGTCCCTTCCAGTGCTATGTCCATGTGTCCTGGGACCTGCATTGAATGTCTGTACATCTACCAGGAAATGAAGTACCAGTATATTGACGGTGACATCATCATCCCTGCCATTTTCGATATCCACATGGGAGGTCTGACACGTTTCACTTGTGGAAAGATGCGTGTACACAATGGATTTCAGTACACGGAAGCCTTCGCCTATGCCCTCCAGCTGATCAACAGTGGGTCCATGTTCAACAATGTCCGCCTGGGCGGTCTACTGTTGGATAGCTGCAGCAGCCCCTCAAGGTCCAAGGCTTTAGTCAACAACATCTACTCTGGTCAGCTGATGCTACAGGACAGCAACATGATGAACATCAGGACCCAGGACTTTCTGTCCTGGATGAGTTATGACAGCAAGAGCACCATTGAGGTCTCGGATATCCTTAGCCGCATTGGTGTTCCCATCGTCAGCCCTGCAGCTACAGCACCTCTGCTGAATACCAAGGAACGGTTTTCCACTTTCTTCCGTACAGTCAAATCTGATATGCATGTTGCAAAAGCCATGGCCAAGCTTACGAAGCAGTTAGGGTTTAATTACGTCATCACTCTGAACGCACCTGATTTCAGCAGTAGAGAGTCAAGGGACGAATTCCGTAAACTTGCTAACGATGAAGGTGTGTGCCTCCTCGCTTCCTATGAGTTCGATACTGATGGCAGTATGGAGTTAATCCTCAGATCAATAAATGAATCCACAACACAAGTTGTTGTTGTATTCACAGAACCAGATTCCTACATTTCTGAACTGCTCCGTGCAAAACAAAGATTATATCCGACCAACCATTTCGTTTTCATCGCAAACAGACGCTGGACCCTCCCGTCTGATATCACTCGACTGCAGCTGACTATCAATCAAACAGTCCTCAACTCTATAACATTCAACTTCAATTCTCCCCCCAGTGCCTGCGTTCACGACCTACCTTGGAAGTAAGAGGCCTACTATGACTAACCCCAATCCTTGGTTCAGAGAGTACTATGAGGAACGCTATCAATGCAACCTACCCGGAACATTCCGCTTCAATGTTAACTGTGGCCAGAATTACGCCAGTGTTACACAATCTGATTTCGTCCAAGACCTGCGAGTCTTGTCGACCATGAACGCTGTATACGCTATTGCTGAAGGAGTAAAGCGTACACTTGAGGAGAAGTGTGGCAGCCAGCCTGGCGTCTGTAGGAACTTCACTAACAGTGCTGATACATACGAGAAAATCATGGCATATATGGATGCTATGAACTTCACCGATGTGGTGGGTGACTTCTTCCGCTTTATCAACAGAGAGGCAGATCGAGGGTACACCATTCAGCAGTTCCTGGAAGATGGTTCTCAGGTTCAGGTAAGAATCATCCCCAGTCAACGTTTGACTGATAACGTACAGAGTAGAGGAGGCCCAAGTGGTCGTATGACATCATGTCATTTGCAATACAGAATTATCTCCCCTTGTTATGGCAGGATCCACTTATTATGGGTGTTAATTCTTTCTGCATTATGAGCATCATGTTTGTGCCTGTAGTTTCACAAAGTAGTAAATGTCAGTGAGAGAAAATAAACCTTCATCACCTTGGTTTTCTCTCTGTGATGTAACTGAATCCAATCACTTCTAATCTAATCTGAATCTAATCATGTTCTAATCTATCAGTGTCTATTCTAGAACACGCTGATAATTATCGAATCACCCCTCAGTAAAACAGCATAGCGCAAACTATCGCGTATGGTAATTTTATTCCTACCTACCTTTAAAAAAACATACGTAAAAGTCTAGTTCAATCCATAACAACAGGAAAACACGACAGAGTAACATCCCTTTGTTAAATCCATTATCGGCACTGTGGGGAAACGAAATTCCATTCACTTCAGTATGAAAGTAGATCAAACTTTTCAATAAGATTATGATTTGACTAATTAATAAATTGAAAGCTTAGATTAAAAACTCTAAGCATATTGTTTGTTATCCCATATTCACATGAGGCTACAGGTACATTATTTTATAAGAAGTAATACTGGTTCTCTTCCCCCCACACACACACGTTTTCCACTCCCTCCCTCTTTTTTACGTAATGGGTGGTCACTTTCACTTTCTTTCTCTCCTCCTCCTCCCTCCCCTTCCCCAGATTTTCAGTTCTAGAATAGACACTGATCTATTGCATAGAAACAAATTATGGTGCAAGATGAAAATACCTGCTTACTATTATACTAATTCTATGACCAGGTTTTAAGTTCATATATTGCCATGAGACTAAAGATTATGTATGTATTGGACGACTGATGACAGCTGACTACAGTACTGTGCTAACTCCTACAGGTGGGGTCCTACAATGGCACAAGTCTCTCTCTGGTGGATGAACGGAATCTTCAGTTAAAGTTCCGTTCAGTGAAGTCAGCATGCGACTCAACCTGTCTTGCGTGCCAGAGGTCGGCCAACAACTTTGATGATTTCACCTACATCAATGGCGTCTTCAACCTTGTTGGTGAGTTGCCTCCCTTTGTTTGACATCACTGAAGAGTTAAAATGGGGGACAGGAAATGTCAGGTTACATGAGGTCAAGCTCAGATCACAGCAATGTGAGGTCAACTTGGGTCATATTGGGGCCCAGGTCAGTTGAGATTGTGGCAGTTCAAGTGAAGTCATTTCTGTCAAAGCATTATTAGATCAGTTTAGTGGGGTCACTTGGGGCCAGATTAGTTGAGATCACATCACTTTAAGTGGGGTCTCATGAGGCCAGATTAGTTTAGTGGGGTCACCTGGGGCCAGATTAGTTGAGATCACATCAGTTTAATGGGGTCACCTTGGGCCAGATTAGTTGAGATCACATCAGTTTTAGTGGGGTCACCTAGGGCCAGATTAGTTGAGATCACATCACTTTAGTGGGGTAACTTGGGGCCAGATTAGTTTAGTAGGGTCACCTGGGACCAGATTAGTTGAGATCACATCAGTTTAATGGGGTCACCTTGGGCCAGATTAGTTGAGATCACATCACTTTAGTGGGGTCACTTGGGGCCAGATTAGTTGAGATCACATCAGTTTTAGTGGGGTCACTTGGGGCCAGATTAGTTGAGATCACATCAGTTTAATGGGGTCACCTTGGGCCAGATTAGTTGAGATCACATCAGTTTAGTGGGGTCACCTGGGGCCAGATTAGTTGAGATCACATCAGTTTAGTGGGGTCACCTTGAGGCCAGATTAGTTGAGATCACATCAGTTTAGTGGGGTCACCTTGGGGCCAGATTAGTTGAGATCACATCAGTTTAGTAGGGTCACCTGGGGCCAGATTAGTTGAGATCACATCAGTTTACTGGGGTCACCTGGGGCCAGGTTAGTTGAGATCACATCACTTTAGTGGGGTCACTTGGAGCCAGATTAGTTGAGATGTCACATGTTACTGCTGAGTGAATTCTGTTTTGCAATTTGCATTAAACTGAAACTAAAACCATGTGCAACACAGTCCAGAAATATACCTCGCACACAAAAGTTCGAAATGGTGTGAAATGTGGTGCAGAACACAATGGATGACCCTGTTGAGACGCACAACTCATGGCGCTTGTGAACAATTCAATATAAATGGACAGATTTAATTATCAATTATGAATTGTGTATTATTAATTCCACATAGTTATTTTGCTGGTTTAGTGTCATTGTGATCATATTTGTCAATTTATAAAGCTTATTAGGATCAAATAAATTTAAAACTGTTTGAAACAGGACGAGAAACTAGTTGAACAGCATGACATTTATTCTAAATATTTTCTCCGTAGGTTTGTTTGATGTACACAAGAAAGGTGCCACACCCTTCACGTGTGGAGACATCAACACGAAACACGGCTTTGAGCTCCTGGAAGCATTCAACTATGCTGTTGAGTATGTCAACAAGAAGCAAGGAATCTTTGAAGGCAAGCTCACTGGGATTGGTATTGGCGCCATCGGTCTGGATGTCTGTCAGAGCCCAACACGTGCTGCCAATCTTGTAGCCAACATCCACAGCGGCAATATTAATCTGAAGAAGGATGGTGAAACCATCAACCCCAAAAACTTTGATGTTTATATTGGCACATTTGAAACCAAGGCATCAATCAGAGTTGCTGACGTTCTCAACAGTCTGTCCATCCCTCAGATCAGTTATGGGGCAACCAGCTTGGAGCTCCGGGATTCCCGGTCTCATCGGTACTTTCTGCGTACGGTTCCAGCTGATGATAAACAAGCCAGAGCCATCATCTCCTACTTGAAGAGGTTTAAGATTGACAATGTTCAGGTGATCAGCACATTTGACAGTGTAGGTGAAAAGGGTAAAGATGAGTTCCTGCGTCTTGCATACTTGAATCGTATCTGCGTGTCACAAAACATTATCATAGGTAGGAACGGTACTGTGTTCCGGTCTGAAGCATCCATGACACTTGAAAAGATAGCGGGAAACATTAATGCGAAGGTGGTCATACTGTTTGTAGATGATCCACGTGCTATCCTCTTAGCTGCAGAAGATGATGACAAGATTCGAGGAAATTATTTTTTTATCGGGACAGACAAGTGGGGCATGGATATTGACCTCCTGGATGGGCTTGACAGACTGATTCAGGACAGGAAAGCTGTGACGTTTGATGTGGAAACAGCAGATTTGCCTGGGTTTGATCAGTACCTGGAATCAAAGACCCCTTCCAATAGCAAAGACAATCCATGGTTTGATGAATTCTTCCAGGAGATTCATGACTGCTACCTCAACAACCCAACATCAGAGTTTTCCAAGCCTTGTACTGCAAGTAATCGTGGCATCCCCCGAGCTAACGGCTACATACAGGATCCGTATGTTCTCTATGTGGTGAATGCAGTGTTTTCAGCAGCTCTGGGGATCCATTATGCTGTGGCCGAGGTGTGCGGTGCTGACTACGGCTTTGCTTGCAACCTCTTCAGGAACAGCGGTGAGAGGAGACAGAGGATCTACCGCAATATCAAACAGAATGCAAGATTTGAGGATGCCACAAGGCAACCGTTCTATTTCACAAATGGAGGGGAGAGTGACCGCGGCTATCACATCTATGAGCCAGTCCGCAACCCTGTAGGGCCGGGATATGTCTATAAGAACGTAAGTAGCACACATCATATACAGCTGTTTGGTGTAAAGTAGTGCCATGTACCTAAGTACCATTCTTTCTGTTAAGTCATATATATTGTTAAAGCCACATGGAACTCACTCACCCACTGAAATATTGATTTGCTAATAATGCCAGTGTGTGGAAACTGTGTATGGAAACTGTGTAAATAATTGACTGACTGACTGAGTTATAATTACGCCGCTTTTAGCAATATTCCAGCAACATCACGGCAGGGACACCAGAAATGTGTGTAGATAAAGAAGTCTGTTCTTGTTATCACCATGCACCACAGTTACTGTGTGAGTCATAGAGACAAAGCCACAGTTACTGTGTGAGTCATAGAGACAATGCCACAGTTACTGTGTGAGTCATAGAGACAATGCCACAGTTACTGTGTGAGTCATAGAGACAAAGCCACAGTTACTGTGTGAGTCATAGAGACAATGCCACAGTTACTGTGTGAGTCATAGAAACAATGCCACAGTTACTGTGTGAGTCATAAAGACAATGCCACAGTTACTGTGTGAGTCATAGAGACAATGCCACAGTTACTGTGTGAGTCATAGAGACAATGCCACAGTTACTGTGTGAGTCATTGAGACAATGCCACAGTTACTGTGTGAGTCATAGAGACAATGCCACAGTTACTGTGTGAGTCATAGAGACAATGCCACAGTTTCTGTGTGAGTCATAGAGACAATGCCACAGTTACTGTGTGAGTCATAAAGACAGAGCCACAGTTATTGTGTGAGTCATAGAGACAAAGCCACAGTTACTGTGTGAGTCATAGAGACAAAGCCACAGTTACTGTGTGAGTCATAGAGACAATGCCACAGTTACTGTGTGAGTCATAGAGACAATGCCACAGTTACTGTGTGAGTCATAAAGACAATGCCCAGTTACTGTGTGAGTCATAGAGACAATGCCACAGTTACTGTGTGAGTCATAGAGACAATGCCACAGTTACAGTGAGTCATTAAGACAGAGCCACAGTTATTGTGTGAGTCATAGAGACAAAGCCACAGTTACTGTGTGAGTCATAGAGACAATGCCACAGTTACTGTGTGAGTCATAGAGACAATGCCACAGTTACTGTGTGAGTCATAGAGACAATGCCACAGTTACTGTGTGAGTCATAGAGACAATGCCACAGTTACTGTGTGAGTCATGAGACAATGCCACAGTTACTGTGTGAGTCATAGAGACAATGCCACAGTTACTGTGTGAGTCATAGAGACAATGCCACAGTTACTGTGTGAGTCATAGAGACAATGCCACAGTTACTGTGTGAGTCATAAAGACAGAGCCACAGTTATTGTGTGAGTCATAGAGACAAAGCCACAGTTACTGTGTGAGTCATAGAGACAAAGCCACAGTTACTGTGTGAGTCATAGAGACAATGCCACAGTCACTGTGTGAGTCATAGAGACAATGCCACAGTGACTGTGTGAGTCATAAAGACAGAGCCAGTTATTGTGTGAGTCATAGAGACAATGCCACAGTTACTGTGTGAGTCATAGAGACAATGCCACAGTTACTGTATGAGTCATTAAGACAGAGCCACAGTTATTGTGTGAGTCATAGAGACAAAGCCACAGTTACTGTGTGAGTCATAGAGACAAAGCCACAGTTACTGTGTGAGTCATAGAGACAATGCCACAGTTACTGTGTGAGTCATAGAGACAATGCCACAGTTACTGTGTGAGTCATAGAGACAAAGCCACAGTTACTGTGTGAGTCATAGAGACAATGCCACAGTTACTGTGTGAGTCATAGAGACAATGCCACAGTTTCTGTGTGAGTCATAGAGACAAAGCCACAGTTACTGTGTGAGTCATAGAGACAAAGCCACAGTTACTGTGTGAGTCATAAAGACAGAGCCAACGATTTGTGTTTTGGAGATAAGTATGAAACAATCTTTGAATAAATTGCAGGAAAGACAGACATTTTCAAACATCTTGTCACAACAAAGTACTCAAGTATATGATGATAATGTTGAAGATGTTCTGGACATATCGTCATATGGACTAAACTTGTGGACCTATCCGTTATCTGTATCATGTTGAGGGGTTGCTTATTATCCTCAATCACCTCAGAGGAGGTTGTTAAGGCCAGACCAATTTTATTTCTTGCTTTTACGGACCCGCCAGTCATATTTTTTCAAGAACAAGAAATAAAATAAAAATTAAATTTCCCCGCTCAAAAAATAAAATCCTAATGTTTTTATTGGCCAAAAATGTAAACTTACAAGAATTTGTTTTTTTGCCCATATACACTTCATAAATTGCCTAAAGTAAAATGCTTTTAGTATTTAGAAGGAATATTACTTTGATTGGGGTTTTTATTATTATTATTATTATTCCTCCTGCCTTTATGTTTTCTGTAAAACAATAAATAAAATTGGTCTGACCTAAACTTTGAAAACAATCAAGTCTTACATGTAATTGAATGAGTGGTTCTCTAAGCATACTGAGATACATCCTGGGCAATGTTTTAGTGTACAATCCGTTTGAGACAAAATGATACCGATGAATTGCAATCTAACACAAAAACAAATAGACATAAAAGAATCAAACCAACGCAGACTGCAATAAAAACAACAGACCAACTCAAGAAAAAATTGCATAATTTGTGTCACAAAAATAAAAAACTTGTTTACGAAACTGTCATCATTTATTTGTGCGTTTTGTTTTAAGGGCACATTGGCAACTAAAGGAACAGCGCGAAAAGTGAGATGGACGTGCATTATTATTTACAAAGTCTATGATTTTTTCAAGGATGAAAATGACAGGGGTGACCCAAGTCTGCAATTACTAAGTACATACAGCGCACTGCCTGTGCAGCTGGGGTCCGTGTCATCTTGCCAGCTCAAAAGTGTGTTGAAAACCCGTTAACGCATGTGCATCTCGGTTTTCGCGCTGTTCCTTTAGTTGCCAATGCACCCTTGTAACAAATGGGAAAATGCACAAATAAATGATGACAGTTTCGTAAACAAGTTTTTTTATTTTTGTGACACAAATTATGAAATTTTGTTTTAGAGTTGGTCTGTTGTTTTTCTTGCAGTCCGCGTTGGTTTGATTCTTTTATGTCTATTTGTTTTTGTGTTAGATTGCAATTCATTGGTATCATTTTGTCTCAAACGGATTGCAGCAGACTTGTGTTGTTTGCAATGCTCTTCATTTGAGAAGGTTGTTTTACCTAGTTTCGACAAGGATGTTTTGAGAAGTGTGCATGTTATGTATACACATCTGTTTTGAGAAAATTCATACCAAACTGACCAGTGCTATTGTGTATCTTGTTACATCCCTAACATTCTTGAAAAATGGCAAAATGTGTATGCTGCACGCATTTCTTCCAACATACACTCTAACTGAGTTGTTCCATCCATTTTGCTGATTGCAGGTGGGCAGTTATAATGACACTCATTATCTGAAGTTGGACATCCGCTATGAAATCACTGAAAGATCCGTCTGTCAACCAGAGGGAGTGTGTCAGTGTGTCTTCCCAGACTACCAACCATCTCGATACATGTTGAGAGATAATCAGAATGATTTAAATCTTGTCTACGTCGCAGATATACACTCCAATGATCCGAAGAACTTATTCGGCTGCGGTGCCATCAACACTGGCTTCCAGTTCCAGAATCTCATGGCTTTCTTCTACGCTATCGAGTCAGTGAACAACAACACGAACCGACGCTTCCCAACATCACTTCAGCTTGGAGGCCTGGCTCTGGATACCTGCGACCAGCAGTATCGACTTGGGCAGGACCTCTACAGCTTGATGAGTGGAGAGGGCCTTTGTGGAACAGGTCAGCAAGGACAAGTTATCCCCCCTTCAACAATTGTGGCCTTTATTGCCGATGGCAGCTCAACAGCTCTCCCGGTCAGCAGTATGTTGTCCCCACTGAATGTTACAACTTTGAGTCAGAGCGCGACAACTGTTGAGTTGAGCAATGAACAGTTCCACCCCTACTTCCTGAGGACCGTTCCTCCAGATAACATTCAAGCTATTGTCATGCTACAGATTATGAAGCAGTTCAACTGGGACTATGCCAGTGTTGTCTATTCAACTATACCATATGGAATCGCAGCTAAGGATACTCTTCTCCAGCAAGCCAATGCTGTAGGATCAACTGCCTGTATCTCTGCCCTCGAGGGCCTGAAGGTGGGAGCCACCTTGACAGATGCAGAGCGTATCCTTGACAAGCTTAGTCAACAGGTTGGGTCAAGGGTGGTCATTCTGTTCACAACCCCTGAGCACTCACGTCTCCTTCTACAGGCCACAAGGTCCAAGGGCCTCGCCGGACGGTTCATCTGGCTGGCTAGTGATTACTGGGCCAACAGTCAGTTTATTGTAAACGGGTACGAAGCCGAGGCTAGTGGTGCTGTCACAATGCAGATCCGGTCAGAGGAAGTCCAAGCCTTTAAGACATTTATGAAGTCCTTGACCTTAAATAACCGTCATGGAATTCCCGATGACTGGTTCGAAGAGCTGTACCAGACTCTCCACAAGTGTCGTCTGCTCAGTGCTACTTTGAAGAAGGATTACTCCAGCATCTGTACCGGGCAGGAGAGGATCACAGATGACATGATTCCCAGTGATCCCTTCATCCTCCATACCATCATCTCTGTGTACATCACTGCCTATGGACTGAACAACCTGGAAGAGTGTCGCAATCTTCCCCAGCTCAGCATCTCGGCCTGCTTGGCTCTCCAGGAGGATCGGAGAAGGCAGCTGATCTACAATAGCATCCTCAACTCTCAGCTGACAGTGCCAGCCCGGGAACTAAGTGGGACTTCCTTCAGCTTCAAGTTTACAGAAGGGAGGTACGGTGACGTCGGCTATGACGTCCTCAACTACTACCGGGATGCTGGTGTCAAGAGGTACAACTACAACAAGGTGAGTTTTGGGGGTTTCCACAGCATCATATTCTTGTTATACAAGGCAATGGAATAAGTTGGTTGGTCAGACCCGTTCACTTGGTTGACTGAGTTTCACCATACCCAGCGTCAGTGGGTGTTGCTCATGATGTTAATCACTGGTTTTGTGTGGTCCAGAGTGTACTATATGTGAAGAGAGTTTCAAGTATCCAAAAATAGCTCGTTTACTTCGCCTATCTTTGGCAAATTCCGTGAGCTTGCAACTTACAAATCATTAATTCCAGTATTGTTTTTGTAATTTTCCTCATATCTTTTGTAGTTACTAATATTTGGCTACAAATCGATTCCTCTTTCACTAGAATATTTTAAATTGTAAACTATCTTGCGACAATCGTCACGACATGCGGCAGAAGTAAGCACGCTTTTGCCGAGGCAGGTCGCAGAACTATCGCTCACGTGTATCCGTCTTTCAACCTATTAATTCATGTAACCTGAACGCCAGTGGTGACTGATGTAACTCCGTGCTCGTCCTCGCTGTTGAGCAGGTCACCTGGGGGGTTTTCTTCTTCGTTGTCTCAAGTTGAGAGGATTAAAAGATGCATTGACCACTCAACCTCCTTGTGTCATATTTTCCACCCCACATACATACAGGCAACCTTCATATAGCAGGGGTGCAGCATCAAACAATACACAGATGCTAGTGATACTTCTTACATTAGGCTCGGTGATGGTACAATGTTTAGCAAATGCCCCTGTAATGACACAAATGTTTTACTGATGTTAGGTACAAAAGGTAATCATTTCCAACTTCTGCTGTTCCAGATTGGGTCTTACCAAGGTGTGTTGACCCTTGACAAAAGTAAATACACTGGGTCTGGTATCCTGGATACCAGCGGAGTTGTGCCACTGTCCCGGTGCCCAGCTGGGAACCCTTGTACCTGCCTCAACCAGGATGGTGTTGGCACCCACATCTACGCCCGCCAGGCATCCACCAGCTCCACCTCCTACACCAGCGCCATCTACATCCTGAAGGAGGATGGCAACTACTACAACTCCCTCACTGACCAGCTGGTGGAGGTCAGCAAAGTGCCCACTGTGGTCGGGCGTTTCACTGACATCTGGGCAATCATTGTGGCAACACTTGCAGCAATTGGGTGCTTCATTGCGGCATGCATGTTCATATACCTCCTGGTCGTCTACCCGAACCGTGGCGGCACATCCATCCTCGGCTACACCCTATGTTTTGGCATCATCCTTCTCTACGCTCTTGTCTTCGCCTTCATAGCTCACGCCAACCCGGAGATCTGTGGGCTGAGGAGGTTTAGTCTTGGCTTCGTGTATGCATTATGCTATGGTTCCTTGTTTGTGAAGTTGCTGGACTGCTGGAGAACTCAGGACAAGGAGGAGATGGACAACGTGAAATATAACAAGCTAGGTCGCCCGTGTGGACTGTTCCTGGTGGTGGTCCTCCTCGTCCTTGTCCAGGTCATCATCAATGCAGAATGGCTGATCCTCGTTCCTCCAGAAACCGTTCATGTCCTCTACAACAACCAGCTATGGCCCAGATGCACTCCAAATGACTTTTACGATGAGAGCCTCGTCTTGTCTCTCGTTTATATCATGCTCCTTATAGCTCTGTCTGTTATATTTGGCTTTGCAACATTCAAAAAGTCCAAGAATCATTACGAGTCTCGCTGGATCCTGGGTATTGCAGTGCTTAGCATCCCATGTTGGGTGATCTGGTGTCTGGTTGCGTCCATCGGTGTGTACAAGGTGCGTGATGCTGCTGTGGCGGTGGGGCTCCTCATCAATGCGACGTTCATGCTGCTGCTAGGTCCCCTGAGGAAGCTGTATCTGCTCAACAAATACCAGACCTTGATTGAAGAGGAAGAAAAAGAATACCTGGCCAGTCACAGACAAGGTAATGCTGTAGTCAGTAATTATGATCATGATAAGAGGGTGACATTTTAACTTTATGGGGCAATTCTCTCTTGAGTTTCTACACGAGACACTTAAAGACATGCTATCAGAAAACCAGCATGATAAGCAAATCATCTTTTTGGGGTGGGGAGGTAAAATTAAGATTAACGAGCATGATCAGATTATGTCTCTTGAGTGTGATTTTACGTGACATTGTTGTCTATTAACCTGTTGTACGACCTGTTGTCTATTAACCACGCTGTAACAGTAAATGGGATCTGGTTCCAGAGTATGCCTCGTATGGCCGACAGTATGACAACGTCGGCAGATTCCATGAGGGGTCAATACATGGTAGCTCACATGGCAGCACGTACCCACGACAGAAATATGCTGCTAGTCTGAATGGAACACAGCGGTCAACAGGCTCTGCATATAACCCATACGCTGACCCCAACCATAGAGGTGAGTGTGTAGACAGCATGTACTTGTGATAGTTGGGCTCAGCTGGTTGGCTGTATGTGTGGGGTATGTAGATTGGTTCCATGTTTTCAGCTTACAAGACATGAGTTCCATGTAAATTTACAATATGTTGGCCACTAACCCTAACCCTGTCCAGTGTAGGTATGTAAAATGGTTCTGATACATTTTGGGTAATAATATGATGGAAAACATTAAAATCTTACTATTAGTGGGTTTGATGAGCTGCTGTCGTATTGTAAAGGTGTATTTATGGTATGATGATCAGGTCTTGTCAGGTCCTGTTGGTATGCTTGTCAGGTCCTGTTGGTATGCTTGTCAGGTCCTGTTGGTATGATTGTCGGGTCCTGTTGGTATGATTGTCAGGTCCTGTTGGTATGATTGTCAGGTCCTGTTGGTATGATTGTCAGGTCCTGTTGGTATGATTGTCAGGTCCAGGTCCTGTTGGTATGATTGTCAGGTCCTGTTGGTATGATTGTCAGGTCCTGTTGGCATGATTGTCAGGTCCTGTTGGCATGATTGTCAGGTCCTGTTGGCATGATTATCAGGTCTGATTGTCAGGTCCTGTTTGTATGATTATCAGGTCTGATTATCAGGTCCTGTTGGTATGATTATCAGGTCCTGTTGGTATGATTATCAGGTCCTGTTGGTATGATTATCAGGTACTGTTGGTATGATTGTCAGGTAAAGTTGGTATGATTGTCAGTAGGTAAAGTTGGTATGATTATCAGGTTGTGTGGTATGATTATCAGGTCCTGTTGGTATGATTGTCAGGTAAAGTTGGTATGATTATCAGGTCCTGTTGGTATGATTGTCAGGTCCTGGTGGTCAGGTCTTGTTGGTATGGTTATCAGGTCCTGTTGGTATGATTATCAGGTCATGTTGGTATGATTGTCAGGTCCTGTTGGTATGATTATCAGGTCCTGTTGTTGGTATGATTGTCAGGTCCTGTTGTTGGTATGATTATCAGGTCCTGTTGGCATGATTATCAGGTCCTGTAGTTCCTTTTGGTATGTTTATCAGGTCATGTTGGTATGATTATCAGGTCCTGCTAACCTGTGAATCTGACCAGGCATTTAACTGTGCTGGTGGCTCCAGATGGAAGGAACTTTGTGTGGTTGCTATGCAGAGATGAGTCCAATATTGACAAAATCTGAAGTTTTGATCCAATTACATGTATCAGGATGATGTGATATTTAAGTCTGTCAGCACTATCGTTATAACCTGCTTGTTGGTTTCACCAGAGTTTGTTTTTCAAGAGTTGGGAAACATTAATATGGTAAACTTTATGTTTCTTGACATTGTGGAAGAATTTGTTAAAGGCAGCTTTAAACCCAGCTCAGTATCTCCGTGAAATGTTCAAACTGGATTGGTCTTCAGTTCCAAAATATACAGCATCGGCTCTGTAGTCATGTAGTTGTCATCTTGTAACATTTCATCACTTGGTATTTCAGAGGAGAGAGAGATTCAGCATTGGTTCTGTAGTCATGTAGTTGTCATCTTGTAACATTTCATCACTTGGTATTTCAGAGGAGAGAGAGATTCAGCATTGGTTCTGTAGTCATGTAGTTGTCATCTTGTAACATTTCATCACTTGGTATTTCAGAGGAGAGAGATTCAGCATTGGTTCTGTAGTCATGTAGTTGTCATCTTGTAACATTTCATCACTTGGTATTTCAGAGGAGAGAGAGATTCAGCATTGGTTCTGTAGTCATGTAGTTGTCATCTTGTAACATTTCATCACTTGGTATTTCAGAGGAGAGAGATTCAGCATCAGTTCTGTAGTCATGTAGTTGTCATCTTGTAACATTTCATCACTTGGTATTTCAGAGGAGAGAGATTCAGCATTGGTTCTGTAGTCATGTAGTTGTCATCTTGTAACATTTCATCACTTGGTATTTCAGAGGAGAGAGATTCAGCATTGGTTCTGTAGTCATGTAGTTGTCATCTTGTAACATTTCATCACTTGGTATTTCAGAGGAGAGAGAGATTCAGCATTGGTTCTGTAGTCATGTAGTTGTCATCTTGTAACATTTCATCACTTGGTATTTCAGAGGAGAGAGAGATTCAGCATTGGTTCTGTAGTCATGTAGTTGTCATCTTGTAACATTTCATCACTTGGTATTTCAGAGGAGAGAGAGATTCAGCATTGGTTCTGTAGTCATGTAGTTGTCATCTTGTAACATTTCATCACTTGGTATTTCAGAGGAGAGAGATTCAGCATCGGTTCTGTAGTCATGTAGTTGTCATCTTGTAACATTTCATCACTTGGTATTTCAGAGGAGAGAGAGATTCAGCATTGGTTCTGTAGTCATGTAGTTGTCATCTTGTAACATTTCATCACTTGGTATTTCAGAGGAGAGAGATTCAGCATCAGTTCTGTAGTCATGTAGTTGTCATCTTGTAACATTTCATCACTTGGTATTTCAGAGAGAGAGATTCAGCATTGGTTCTGTAGTCATGTAGTTGTCATCTTGTAACATTTCATCACTTGGTATTTCAGAGGAGAGAGAGATTCAGCATTGGTTCTGTAGTCATGTAGTTGTCATCTTGTAACATTTCATCACTTGGTATTTCAGAGGAGAGAGAGATTCAGCATCCGTTTCTGTAGTCATGTAGTTGTCATCTTGTAACATTTCATCACTTGGTATTTCAGAGGAGAGAGAGATTCAGCAGTAGATCAACTGGTGCCTGAGAGATACTTCAACAGTGAGACTCCTGGGAGCAAGCTGATGTGAGACAGACATATAACAAACTGTGATGGGGAGAATCTTTGGAATATTAATAAACAAGTAGAATGCATTATATATTTAAACTTGACAAAGTTGTCTCTTGAATTAAGTTTTGAATTCAAAGTGAACTTGACACTGAATATTGCTGCTACTAGAACCGTCCTACGGTCTTGTAGGCCACAATGTGTAACTGGAAACACTGACATGACTTTCCTGCAGCCTTGTGTAAAGAATGACAGGGTTACCTTGTCTTTTCATTTGAAAATCTTTAAAATGTATGACAGTGTCTCAGTTGTCAGAATCAAACTTGTTATGAGAAATTCCCTCTTGATATGAGGAGTTGAATGAGTGCTGAAGTTTGTAAAGAATGTTTTGTTAAGGCCAGACAAGTTTAATTTCTTGTTTCGCAAAGTTTATTCAATTGTCCTAAAGCAAAATAGAAACATGTATAATTCCCAAAATCCCTCAAGGTTAGATTTACAATTTCTCTTATTTTGTTTTTGTTGACTTACTTAAGTAAAGACATATTCTTCAGACAAGAAAATGAGTTGGTCTGGCCTTGTCAATAATATATACATATAAATAACTGTACATTTGTATTTGTGTCATCCGCAAGGACTTTGTACTATGGCATATAAGTCTAATTATACATTACTGCTCATACAGTCGTCATCAGATGTAATGTTGTAGTTTGTGAATATATTTGCCAAATTATATTAGCATATGAGCGATTATTCAAATTTTGTATATACACTGATTTTAAATTGTAATAAACATTTATATTTTGTATAAGTAATTTGTCTCGTTTTACTCAACATTCTGTCAACAGAAGTGGCCTAGTGGTTCACGTAGTCACTGATATGCCCCAAAAGCCCCTATGAAAATCTGGGTGATAATTGGTTTTCAGAAAACAGTGATTGTCTTAAAAGGCGACTAACAGGATCAGATGGTTAGACTCGCAGACTAAGTTGATGCAAATCTTTCTCTCAGAATTTCATAGATGATTATGAGTTAATCATTTGATTGTCTGGTCCAGACTAGGGTATTTAAAGACCTCCATCGTATAGCTCGAATATTCCTGAGTGCTGTGTTAACCAACAAACATCATATGCCTAAGCCTGTGATGATTCGCATCGTGATGTGTGAATCTATTTTGGTGCCCATACAGAACTTGGTTTAAGAATGCTGCAATCAGTGGCCACCAAACTCTTGGCGGAACCCATGAAAAGAGCAGCAGCTACATTCCGAGTGTTTGGGGATTTGCTGCACTGCAGCTTGATTCAGCTGTTGATATTAACCTGTAAAGAATGTACCTGAACTAAACAATCCAGTGATTGATAGTGAGAGCAATGATGGCACAACAACATTACTATGCTGACCACTGATCCATTAACATCCCGCTTACTACAATTGGGATCTATTAAAACCAGCATTCGAAATACTGCCTGCCCGACCACCCGGGACGGGTTATTTTCAACACAGGCTGCCATATTCCTCAAATTCACCTGCCCATCGGTCAGGTTAAAATTTAGACATGTATATCAAGATATTCATCATATTTCAGGATAATAGATCATAATTAATTCACTCATAAGAATAAATGATGAACACCAATTGGATGATAAACTACATCGCTTGTCAAACCTAAATTATTTGCAGGCAGGTAAGTTTTGGTTAGGGCTGGCACGTTTTACATCTAACCAGCCCTGTGGTCTGGCTGAACTTTTTGGGAAGTTCATACCCTGTAAAACCCATCATCTCCAGAGGGTTCATACAGAGCAATTTGTTGCCCAATGCTTGCAGCAGTCTATATTAAGCAGACCCACAAATGTTATTCATAACAATGTGGGGGAAAGCTAGCAGGTATCAGTGTCATATCAGCCAGTGTCCAGTTTCCATGCATGTCACTGTGGTCAGTATCCTTGTCTTGAGTGATAAATGATGGTGATGCAGACAACAATGTTCCAGCTATATCATGAACACCAAAACACATGATCCCCAATCACTGGATGTTCAGGACAGGATGAAGGACATGGCACAGAATCCTTGTGCACTGAGCTATGTCAAACTAGTCTCTCCAGGGATATGATCTAGAACAGACACGAGGTCAGAGACTCGGACTTCTTGGGCAATAGTTAGGTAACAGTGGGACAATGGCTTGCTGAGAGGGACTTGTCATGAGCTGGGTCACAGACTGGAGCAAAGTTGGAAAACATATTGTGAGACTGGGATCTGTAAGACATGAGCTAGGCTACACTGGGACCTCCAGAGGCACACGCTAGGTCAGACCAGGATGAGAGATTGGGCAGAGGTAAGGTCACAGACAAGAACCTCCTCAGACAAAACTGGGTCAGATTAGGGTCTTCATGAACAAGAGCTTGGTCCGACTGAGACCAGATTCGGGCAGACTCTAAGTCAGACTATGACCACTAGCTAGGCCGGACTGTGAGACAAACTGGGTCAGACTGGACAACAACTGGGTCAGTCTTGGACCACCTGCGACACAAGCTACTTCAGTCTGGGACACAGACTCTATCAAGCTAGATCACACTGGGACACCATCTGGATCTCACTGTGACCTCATAGAACAAGGACTGAAAAAGACGCTAGGTCAGTGACCGAGGCTTCTGGTACATCAAAGGGGTAGCAGACTGGGTTCTCACGGGACAACAAGGGGGTTACAGACTAGGACTTTCTGGTACAGACTCCAACTTCCTCTCACATGAGCTAGGTTAGACAGGGATGAGGTGGGACAAGCTAGGCCAGACTGGGGTAACCTTGCACAAGAGTTAGGACCTCCTCGGCCTTATGCATCAGGTGGGTCACACTATGGTAGAAGCAGGTTACTGGTCTTGGACCCGCTTGGGGACATGAAATGGTTAAATTTAGATGTCCTGGGACACGAGCTGGTTCAGACTGGGACCCTCGGGCAAGAACTAGGACCTGAGAGCTTACTGTGATAATCTGCCTCTTTGTTTGTCGGGGTGAAATCTGATCGGCCAATAACAAAGCTGAAAATCAAAAACGGATAACGCATAAACAACCATGCAACTTATTTTGACTCATTAAGTCAGCAAAGTGTTTGAAGGAAGGTTAGTTGTATACGGATGACCAACAGTGGGGATCAAGTTTTGACCAAGGCGACCGTTTAATTGGCAAACTAGTGTTGAACCGCTCAGTCTCACAGCCACTGAACCGCAGTATTTTCCCCTCCGCCCAGTTCTTTCTGCGATGCTGACGTCGGACTTCTCGCAGATCATGTTGTTATTTTGGAAGTTGGAAGAACTACCGGATACACCACGGACCGAACTTACGGCCCTCCTCTGTTCGTACCAATACCCGCCATGTATGGTTACAATCACCAGACCCGTGAAGATCCGGGTTATAATTGATCTTCAGTAACCCATGCTGGGCGTATGAGGCGACTAATGGGATCTAGTGGTCTGGCTTCTTGACTTGGTTGAAACATGTCATCGGTTCCCAATTGCGCAGATCGATGATCATGCTGTTGATCACTGGATTTTCTGGTCCAGACTCGATTATTATTTTTACATACCGCCGCCATACAGCTAGAATATTGCTGAGCGTGGCGTAAAACTAAACCCACTCACTCACTACCAGCACCAGTGGGAATACTGTTGTGTCTGATGACTGACTGACTGACTGACTGTGGTTTTACGCCGCTTTTAGCAATATTCCAGCAACATCACGGCGGGGAACACCAGAAATGGGCTTAACACTGTGTCTGATGAGGCAACTGTGCGAAAACAACAAGTCTAAACGTCGAGTAAAAGATTAGAAGCGTGTAGTGTTGCCCCGGGACAATTCACCCGTGTAAACGTCATTGTACATCCTCCGCATTCACAAACTTCGGCAATCAGGTGTCCACCCTTCCCAAACTTAAAAGAAAGAGCTGTCAGAAAAGCATTATGCAAATGATAATTACGTGATTACGGATGACCATTTCTTGATACCCACAGGAGGAACTGAAGCCTTGTCCGTCTGTGACATCCGGTATTGTTAACAGACATCCGTTGAACCCGGAGAGGATTGTGTTGAAAGATAATTAGCAGCAAACTCCATACACGCAATCCGTTATAGTAAGACCCAGAACATCTAAGCCACCCCGAACGTTGTCCGTAAGAAAACCACATGATGTCTGGAAGTAAACTTCAGCAGGACTAAACAATAATACAACTACATTTGTATGGGAAGGGGGCCTGTGAAGATTTGGGTCGAGACCAGAAAATCTGTGACCTACTGCTTTCAGCTGAAATAGAGGATGTTTTTATTTTATTGGGCTTCAGTTTTAACTAAGTTTTCAACACTTCAGTTTCAAAACTACAGCTTTTGAAACAACGACTGGATCCGGACTCGTGAGACGCAATGCGTGTCGTCCGTCGGTAATATCTCTTCCTGAGACAACACGGGCCACAGAACATGAAACGCCACAGGCATGTTCCTACCAAGACTGGCATTAGTCCCATAAAGTTTTGTCATTCCTGGAGCAAAGGCAATCTAGATTTCCACAGCCATTATAGACTTGAGTTAAGACTCCTGTTATATTTAATTCTCTGTGGTCTAGGAGACAGACTAGTTACCCTATCGTCGTACATGATCCGTAAATCTTAGGTTCATATTCAAGGGTCCCATTGCACAAAGCGATCCTAGCGCAAAGACCGTCTAAAGTTTATGTTAGACCATGGGAGTAACGACCATCATTGCACAAAGATCACGTTGGGCAAGAGGGTCTAAACTGTCTTCGGGTGTAGTGCCTTTGTTATAAGTGACACACTGAAGAACCCCAACTCACTCACCGACCTCGACACGCGCCGACTCTTCTGGCGACCCCCCAGGCGCAGTCTCCACCAGGTGTTACTTACACAGTCGTCGTCAAACCGCCTACATGTTTATAAACATCCCTAAATCGTAAACCTGAGAACCGGTCATGTGAGTGAGTAAACGAATCAGAGGGAACCCATGTATTGTACGGGAACCTTCCATTGTATCGGGCTGTTCTCAAATAGATGTATATATCCATGCAATGAACTTTCACAATCCGTATCACATAAAAGCCACATCTTTTGTAACTGATCGCTGTTAAAACAAAACAAGGCGTAATATCTGGTATGTCTGAATAGTTTAGAGGCTATGTGTGTAATCTAAGAAGGGCGTCTACAGTGTATTCTGTTACAAACGTTCACTTCTCAAGGTAGCTCTCCGCCGTGATATTGCTGGAATATTGCTTAGAGTGGCGTAAAACCAAATTCACTCACTGATTCACTCACTCACTCAAGGTAGTCAGGGGCGATGGGGTAGCCTACTGGTTAAAGCGTTGGCTCGTCACGCCGAAGACCCGGGTTCGAATCCCCACATGGGTACAATGTGTGAAGCCCATTTCTGGTGTCCCCCGCCGTGATGATGTTGGAATATTGCTAAAAGCGTCGTAAAACCAAACTCAGTCAGTCAGTCAGTCAAGGTAGCCCGTTGTCTTAGAGTTAGTGAGTGTGTCTGGAACATCAAAGCAACATCGATGCGAATTGGGGCGGTGGGACAACCTAGTGTTTAAATTCAACATACATAGTGAAGATCATTTTCAGATAATGCTGAAATAAAGCTCAACTCGTTTGTTAGTTGTCACATATTTTGTTTGCTGGGAATTATTTATATTGTAGCTAAAATATAGGACTATCACATTCTGAACAGGACCAACAACTTTGTATTGTTATGGGTCCTTAGGGCCTGCAGCTTTTTATGGTTAAGGAAAATTCCAATACTTAAGAACGTCCAGTAAGAATATATAAAATGCTAGGCAGAATTTAAAATTAATTCTGAATGTGTTCATGATACATCATTAAGAGTCTTAAACATCCTATACTAGCACTTTTTAAAATGTCTAAGGAAATACAGCAGTTTTTAGCTATACTTTTGCTAAAAATATCAAAATATGATAAAACAAAATATGAGAGTTACTTCTTACTTTGAACACAAATGTATATATTTCAAGGGCGGTGGGGTAGCCTAGTTGTTAAAGCGTTGGCGCGTCACGCCGAAGACCCGGTTTCGAATCCCCACATGGGTACAATGATGAATATTGTCCCCGCCGTGATGTTGCTGGAATATGCTAGCGGCGTTCAGTCAGTCAGTATATATTTCAATGTACGTTCCGCGGCAATGCTAGTCTCTGTGATGAGTAGTGGAAGGGGGATAACTCTGTGTCTGTCTACTGTCCCTCGCATCTGCATTATACATATTTTTCAAAAGATAACACACAAAACAGAATATCACATTTTCACAGATATCCACGTGGGTGTATATAATTTAAAAAGTCATGAACTTTGACTAAATATTTAAAAACATGCATGTGTCGTTACGTACGTTTCTCCCTTTTACAGCTTATTGCTTTTAAGTATACCATGTAATGTATTATCTCAGCAGCTGGCTATATATACGAGTTGAGATCATTACAGAAATCATCATTACGTTTTTATCATGATCCTTACTTGTGCCCGTATTAGCGAGCAGTCCTGTTTAACCGCGTCCGTTTTATGCAGGTTTAGGCTGTATCAGCGTCTATTAGCGAAGACAGGCTCTCCGAATCAGCACATTAACACGTTCTGTAACACTGTGCGAGAAAACCCACATATTTATCGAAAATGCCGCTCAGCGGGTTTTGTGTTATCCAGCGTTCGCGACGAGCCGTGTGTTCCATTGTGACAACTATAAATAACCCGTAGAACCAGTTTTACAGGTGAGCCGAGCGCGCTAGCAATATCGGGACCGGTCCAACGTTATATTGTATACGGCAGTGGTCGTGGTGGTGGGTTCTTGTGAATCAGGGCTGTTTTCATTGGCAGTGTATTTATAGTGTCCTCAACCAGCCCAGGGTTGGGTTCTGTGATATCGTTGGGTATACACCAGTACACAGGAAAGCGGGTAGATTCATAATTTCATTTTCGAAACCCGAGAGGATTTAACTTCATTTTCAATGGTGAGTTACGATTGTGAATTTTATAACGCATTCCAGTGTAGTTTTCTGTTCTGTCCGCGACTATTACAGGGGAAACAGGCGTGTGTGTTTATACTGTTGTCTCCATTTATTGCACATAGGATAGGTGGCAACATGTGTATTTATTGGTATAGTTTGCCCCATTATGTTTGTATATGTTTTCTGTATGATGATACACTAATTGTAATACTTGTTTAATATCGCCACACTAGAGTAGCAACACGCCTTACAACCTCCTATGGGCAACACCCAATAGAAAAACGTCTGGTCGTTATTACCTATAATGTAGTACAATCCGTGCCCCTCATGACAAGGCATGTAATGACACTGGTACTCGTCGTTCACATAAAAATCACACATTTCATGAATCGTCTTGTAAAATGTGTCATAATAAACAATACATGCACTGCAGCGAACATACGTACCCCTTCAACCCACATTCCTACCGTGGTTAGCAATCTCCACACCTATAATTAGTTGTTTTCTACCAGATGGTATTTCATCTCAGAATCGTCAAATAATATTCCATCTCTGGTATCGATTAAAAATATTATTCCACCCTTGGTATCGATTAATTACCTGTGTTGTTTCTGTGTTGTACAATGTGCAACACAATTCGATATAAACAAGATTGCAATATTAAGGTGTGGTAATTTTACTGCTCGAACCAAACATGTCTATATTATGTAAACTATTTTCTGCATATAAAAATAGGTAGAACATTCACATTATGACAAGTTCAAGTGATTTTCTCGACTTAAAGACAATAGTACCTCTTTTTTTATAAAAAGGAATATGAAATTCTTCAAATTCCCCTGATAGTCAGAATTGTTAATGTAGATTGTATTGTACATAACATGAGCACTGACATCAATAGGGTGCAAGAAAACCCACCCACGGTGTGCTCTCTGTATATTTGAGGGGATATCACTGGTATTCATTACCTACACTAATATGTATATTTATTACGATTTTTCCTTACCTCGTTGAATACATTATTCATGTGCAGCTTTAATGTAAACATTTATAGTTTGCATTGTCACGGGAATCTTCTCGTGGGAAGACAAGCTTGTCAGTTAAACATATCCAGTAAATATACCATTATAAGTCCTAAATAGTAATACTGGTTGCCAATGCTACTTCAACATTTTAAAGTGTGAAATATATTCAAATATCAGATGAATACGATAAAATCAATTGCGTCAATGAGATATTAATTGTTGTGGATGCAGTTATTTCTAACGTAATCACATAGCTGTTGGTCAAACTGTGAAAATGGCACCAGAATTTTCACGTGACCTTTACATGAAACTACAATTGCCTGGAGACAATATAAGGGGCATGTGTTAGACCTATACAATGTGATACAATAATACAAGGTGTTTACAAGGAGGTTGAGTTTTGTTCCTTTTATTAAACACGAGCTGGAGACAATGGTGTTTAATTCGTGACCAATCTTGTTATGTAACAATCCAACCTCAATACCTGGCGTTCCTGTGTTAAGAGGGATTATGTCTGTCCTCATGGGGTCAATCTTGAATACGAGTGATTAGGTTTTGCAAGAGGTCAGTTTAGAAATCATGTATTGATTAGGAAGATGAAGAAACAAACTGACAATATGTTGTGTCACATGTTGGGTGGTATAAATGCAGTAGTGCAAGTTAAACCCCTGAGGCACGATGTCTCACGTGACCAAGTGACCACTTACGTGAGTGAGTGAGCATGGCTTTACGCTGCTTTTAGCAGCGGCGTAAAACTAAACTCACTCACTCACTTTTCCAGAAATGTCAACTTCAAATGCCAATGAAACGATGTAAAGATTCAAATTCATAATCGGTTAGTGCCCTTACCCTTACCAAGAACAACTGAAGAGTCACGTTCATATCAGTATCGTGGATGGTTAATATTGATAAAGGGGTTGTCTTGTACCTCAAAGAAATATTCAAAGTAGACATAAAATTCTTTGTTCTCCGTCACAATTTTAATTCCGTTAATGAATGCGTTTACATGCACACAACACGTGCATGGCATCTACAATAATAGCATAAGTTATTTCGTCAGTGACACGAACACAGAAAAGGCTGCCTCTCCCATCACAGTGTACACACGAAAATGTTCAGTCCTCTCCCATCACAGTGTACACACGTACATGAACATGAGAATATCCTAAAATGTTATATGGATAGAAGACTTTGGTTTGGTATGTTTGAACAACCAATCATGTAAGTCTATTGAGTCAAAACATCAGACTGAGGAAGTCATTGATAATTAGGATATCGACATGTTTGTTTAGGTGAGGTTTAGGTTTAGGTTGGGTTCAATCATGTAAAAATTCAAATCAAAAGTGTAAAAACAGTTAAAAATGGGTCCAAATGATATTGTTTATGATGATAATGCATGCACATTCACAAAGAGTGATACAGTTGGGTTTTGGATGTGAAAGAATGGTTGTTTACTGATGTTTTGACTCAATAGAGTTACATGATTGGTTGTTCAAACATACCAAACCAAAGTCTTCTATCCATATAACATTTTAGGATATTCTCATGTTCAGAGGTGTAACATTTCTTTTGGCGTTCAGTTTATATTGCCTACTAATTCCTTTTAATGTTGAGTGACAAATAAGAACGACAAACAAACACACGTACTTTCCTAGGTGAGTGAGTTTAGTTTTACGCCACACTCTGTAAATACTACTAATCGAGTCTGGACCAGGCAATCCAGTGATCAACAGCACGAGCATCGACCCGAGCAGTTGGGATACCATGTCATGTGTCAACCAAAATTACTCGAGATGGCATGCCGCCTAGACGCTGGCCTACTATGTACACGCCCCCTCTTTCGAAATTCTCCGTGATTCTATAAAGCCGAGTTAGGTTGACAATTGAGTTTGTAGGAGACAAGAATCTGTTTTTCCGAATTCGTCTTCACCTTTGCTATTTTTACTTCTCATGTATAGTTACATCTCTTAAAAATAGATATCAAAATCATCATGAGTTTAGTATGGCCGTTTTTCAAGATGTGAACTATGTTATCAAAGTTTTTAATCTGAATTCACAACCAAACCGACCAGACAGGTGAAGCCATCCATAGAACCGCCTTAGCAAGCAAGTCATAACAACATTTCGCACGCGCCTGAGGCGGTACAGATTTAGAGTTATCTCCCCTGGTACACAACGCGGGGCAGACTCAACATTGCTTCAAGCCTTTTCTTCTGGTTCTTAATATGATTGAATTAATCACCGCTAACTTCACCGGGAAAATCCTGGCTCTGTATGACACTGTTAAATAAACATCAAGTTTGTTGTAGAATGTTGAAAAGCAGTTAATGAATTGTTGGTGTGAATTTGTTGAAAGACAAAAGCCAAGTAATAAATAATATCTGTATTTAATGTTACGACCAGACGTTTTCATTTGTTGGTGTATGGATTGTTTGTGACATATTCTGGCCGGTAGGTGGGGTAAAGATTCATATCTGAAAGATCTCGAGCCTGTTTTGATTAAAGTGCTGCCCATAGGTTCATGTCTGATTCGTCATTGTCTGGTTAGTTCTTAAAGAATCCTTTTTATTGGAAAAATTCTATGAAACACATAAAATAATTAGTCAGAAACCGCTCTAGTGGTTGTGTGGGTTCTTGTACCCGACTCAAGTGGGTAGCAGGTAGTCAGAGTCACTTTACTCTTGCTACTCGTTATTCATGCCGTAAACCACTGTTTTACCTTATATTGAAACACAGAGATGTGATATCACGATATCTTGATGTCTGCGGCGTAAAACAACAATCATGGCGCTGTTATTAACTGCATATAATCTCCAGGGGTATTATTTATTGATATTTATCTTGAACACATTTTTCACGTGATCTTTTGTTTCAGATGAGGGTCCTGCCGGGGCTCGCAGTTGGTCTTCTGCTGGCTGTCTCTCTGTCGTCTGCTCAGGAGACCTGCCCAGCAGCAAGCGGCGGGACGTGCCAGGAGATCCCTATGGCCATTAAAAAAACTACTAATACTGCTCCAGCCGCTCATTACTATATCGGAGGCCTGTTTGGTATCCACGAGAAGGGAACCACCGCCTTCTCCTGTAGTGATAGATTCAGACTTCGCGGGATCATGAACCTCCAGGCGTTCCTTTGGGCAATTAACTATTTCCAATCACGACTCCCAGCAAGCGACAGAGACAGAGTATCCATTGGAGGTGTTGCGTTTGACAATTGTCAACGCACAGAGCAGGCGATACAAAATATCTTGGGTTTTGAACAGTGTCGAAACAGGTTAGCAGGCGTCGACAGGCGACAGGTTTTGGCTTTTGTAGGTCCAGACACAAGCGACGAAGCCCTGGCTGCAGCTGCTCTCATGAAAGACATGTCACTGACTACAGTCAGTCATGCGGCCACGTCTCCGGAACTGAGTGATGGGAACATGTACCCATACTTCCTCCGAACCGTTCCATCAGATGCTAATGACGCTGCAATCCTGGCTACCGTTTTGGCTAACGAACTGAAGGCTAAATATACACAGCTTGTGTATATAGACAACTCTTATGGGAGACACGGAATGGAAGAATTCCAGAAACAAGCCAAAGCTAGAGGTATCTGCATCATACAGAGCATCAAGATCACTTCCGATGTGTCGACGTCCGAGGACAGCGAGGTTCTACGTAAACTCATCAACAAGCAGAACGTGAGGTTTGTTGTAATATTCGCAGATGGCCCGACAGCCAACAGAGTCCTTCAGTCGTCTCAGGCATACAACGCCCGTTTAAACGCCCAGAATGCTGTCAAGTTCACCTTCCTTGGTACCTCATCATGGGGTACCTCCGACCTCTATCTTAACAACGCCTACGCCGCTGCCAACAACAGCATTGTCGTGTCTCTGTCTAGGGATTCTTTATACACAAACGCCATCAACGCCTTCAAGGACTACTGGAATAATTTAAAGCCAAACGACAAGAGCTCGGGCATCGACAACACATATCTGACGGAGTACTGGGAAGCCAGGTTTAACTGTAAGGTAGACGGAACCTCCAACGCTTGCGTGCTAACTACCCAGTCGCTTCGGGACGACCTTGACGCCTACGTACCATACACCATCATGGCTGTTGACGCTATTATCAGGGGCGTTTATGCTGCTGCCCAAAAGGCCTGCACTGTATACGACCTATGTTCCGATCTCCTCAATATTGGCAATAGAGGCACCGCCATATTTAATGGTATTAAGCAAGTAGAGGCTTTAGGAGATGCTAGTAGGGTCTTGTTCAACCAGACCGTTGGGGCAAACAACAAATATGTGACAGGCGATCCTTCTAATGGCAACGGCGGCTTCACCAGCTACAAAGTACATGCTGTGGTCAAGGGCGTGTACACGGAGGTATGTATAATTTTACTGATATTTGACGCATTGACCATTTGACGCACGTACCATTGGCGCACTCGTCTCGCCTCGTTGCAGGCGTGTCGGCGAGTATCGAGTTTGTTTCTTGTTGAACGCCACACTCAGCAATATTCCAGCTACATGGTGGCGGTTTGTAAATAATCGAGTTTGGACCAGACACTCCACTGATCATCTTTGTGAGCATCGATCTACACAAATGGGATACGATGATATGTGTCAACCAAGTAAGCAAGCCTGACCAGTCAGTCGCTTCTTTCGACAAGCATGGGTTGCTGAAGACCAATTCTAACCCGGATGTTCACGGCGAGGAACTGGAACAGTATTGTGAGGAGACTAGATATCAAGTCGGCTACAGATGTATAACAGATATTTCATTTATCAAAACTATCTGTCTAAATATGCTTTTGAAATAACACCTTGCAACAATGTATTTTTGCGGCCGGCCATTTCTCTTTTTTTCAACAGTTTTAACGCATAATTATTTTTTAAAGCATCTGAGGGAGAATTTCTTTATGTTTTCTATAATTCCCTGCCAACACTCCCTGCCCATCTGCCACCCCGAATATCAATATGCTCGACGTCTGAATGTTGTTCGGGTGTTCGATATAGAAATGAATGCTAATAAGGAAAAGAATTCTTTAGAAAACGACAGTTATGACATTCCTATCATATTAAGGCGACATATACGATGTTGGCTGCTTTTGTCCCCTGTCCCCATAGCTTTCATGGAAGTGGTAAATGTCTGAGTTTGGTTGGTTTGTTGTTTAACGTCGCACTCAGCAATATTCCAGCTATATGGCGGCGGTCTGTAAATAATCGAGTCTGGACCAGACAATCCAGTGATCAACAGCATGAGCATCGATCTACGTAATTGGGATATGATGACATGTGTCAACAGGGCGGCGAGCCTGACCACTAGATACTATTAGTCGCTTCTTATAACAAGCATGGGTTGCTGAAGACCAATTCTAACCCGGATCTTGACGAGACCAGCATCACGTATGTCCAACCCTTTCACTCCAATATATAGCGGGTTGTCATTTACATAGAGGGACTACACCCGACTCACTGTCTGTTATGTAATGAAGCGGCTCGGCTACCCATCCCACCCCCATATAGTTACTGAACTGGTTTTTATTGTACCCCATTTACACCAGTCAGCTCTATGTAGAAGGAGAGCCGTGAGCGAAACAGGTCTCATTCAGACCCACTCCCTGGAATATGTGTTATTTTATTCAAGAAACTACAGGGACAAACGAGTAACAGGAAGTGGAGCGAATAGGGTCAAGCCAGTATAATGTAGACGGGCATTGAACAATAGGGCACCAGACAAAACACCTCGCGTAGCCTTGTACAGGTTACATGGTGAATCCGACATGGAAACACGAGGGGATGTACATGCAGCGGGGTGAAAATATTGGAGAGTGTTGGGATATATATAGCCATTCATTCATGTACAGGTGACCTACATTCATACCTGCAGGAGATACACACACGGTCACTGAAGCTACTCACGCTTATACAAACAGGAAGTGTAGGTGTTGTTGAGTTTAGTCCTACGCCACACTCAGCAATATTCCAGCTATATGGCGGCGGTCTGTAAATAATCGAGTCTGGACCAGAAAATCAAGTGATCAACATCATGATCATCGATCTACGCAATTGGGATATGATGACATGTGTCAACCAAGTCAGCGTGTATCCATTCGTGTTGCTGTTGGATTATTCATATAATCTCAAATAATTATTATCTTTAATATGATTGCCATTAATCGATATTTTTGTCATAACAAATAAATCTGTACGTTCCTTTGAAATCAACACCAAGGTCAGTGGAACTGCCTACAAGAGAAGCTCTCGCTGGACTGTCCCAAGACCCTGGGTAGCATCCCGACAAGGGTGCACTAAACGAGACCCTTACAGAGGTCACAAAATGGCTATGTTGTTTGATACTTGTATTTAGGATGGGGATTGTATTTTCCCAGCGAATACATGGGATAGTCTTCATTCTGTTGTAGATCGGCAACATCAACTACAGCCCCGGAGCCAATGTGACCATAACACAACCGCTGGATATGAGGTTCTATCAGAACCAAGCTGTCTGTAACTACCCATGCACCGACTGCGGCGAAGTGGCCACAACGCCAGCTCCCACAACTGCCATGACGTCCTCCCCCACGGTAACGAGCACCAAGGACCCAACTGAAGGCGGGAACTTCACCTTCGTCAAGTTCCCAACCACCCAGGAACTGACCGGCGCTTACTTCAAGTCCCCCCGCAGTGGGGAGATGTGGATGACCAGGTACTTGACCACTGCGATGAATTATACTTAAAAATTAGGGGAGGGGGTAATTAATTTTGTACATGACATGCAATTGGAGGCCCCATGAAATAGACTTTATACTTTATCAAAGGAGTTACCTTTGAAAATTGCTTATGAATTCAGTTAACGATTGGCAACGCTTTGATTTGATATCGAGGTGTAAGAGCTGATGCACAACACAGGTGAGAACGTTGCCTAAATAGCAGGAGGCATTGACTGCCTGGATGTCTGATTTAGAGCGATATAGTCAATATAGACAGTTGACAACTCCAGTTCCCTTGGTGAAGTCATTGATCTGTCGAGACCACCCGTCCCTTATGCACTGGTTACATCAAAATGGTAGCGTTAACTGTTCGAACCCACACTAATCTGTCGTAATTAGTCAGTGGTATAACAGAAATTATGTTCACAGAAACAAAAGCCGCGCACACTAAACGTAAACATGTTTGTTCCAGGTTTGAGATTGGACAGAGATGGATTATCGCCCTTGGAGTGCTGGCTGGCCTTGGAATCTTGGCGGTCATTATATTCGAGATCTACATCTTGTACAAGCTTCTGGGAACACGCATGGGAAGTCGCTGGAGGACAATGTGGCTCGGGCAGCTTCTCCTCTTCGGCATCTTCCTAAGCTTCCTCACGCTCTTCGCATTCATCCCCGTCCCCACCAAGGCCACGTGCGCCCTCACCAGGTTTGGCGTGGGCGTGTCCTACTCCATCATGTTTGCAGTGCTGTTGGTGAAGCTGATGGTGATTCTGACGTCCAAGACATCGGAGTCGTCCCTCCTGCCCGGCGACATAGAGTCCCCCAACTACCTGAAAGGAATCTACCAGTTCCTCATGTTTATGTTCGCTGTTGGCGTCCAAGTTGTTATTGATGCCCAGTGGTTGATCACGGTGCCACCAGAAGCTGTTCTCGTGACAGACAACGGGGGCAACCAGGCCTGGGTGTGCAACCATTACACCTGGAAGGTGAACACCGGCATGCTCAACATGACAACGTTTGTCCGCAACGACTTCGAGAACCATCTCCTTTCTCTCGTCTACATCATGTTCCTCATCCTCATCACCACCGTCCTCGCCCTCAACGCCCACGGGATCATCACCAACCACAGAGAGAGCATCTTCATCGGTATCGCATCAGGGTTCACCATCCCGGTATGGTTGGCGTGGGGCTTGGTGGGAGGTCTTAACAGAGACCACATCGTTGCTCAAGAGTTTGGCGACGCCTGCATAGCCTTTGGGCTGTTCCTAACGGCGACGCTGATCCTGTTTGCGATGTTCCTCCCCAAGGTTCGGCAACTTGTCAACATTGGCGTCGAGGGCATCTACTTCGAGGACGACAGAGAGACCTACTACGCCGGGTCTGTAATTATGTCACCTCCCAGCTACAAGAGCAAAGCCAACTCTGTCCTCTACGTCAACAACTCCGGCATCTACTCAGAGCCAGTAGTCGTTGGCAACGGTGACCCCAGTAAGTATAGAATGTTGAACACTATCTGAGTGTAGAACACGTTAAAGTGTCCTCTGTAAAGAAACTGTAGGTACTATTGAATCATTGGATAATAATGTAAATCATGTGTTGGGTGTAGCAGCCTCTAATGTATCTTGCTGGGCGTGTCGTTCTACAAAACAACCATAGTGCTGAGATTGTTGTAAGTCTATGTTAGACTACTATCTAAGAAAATGGACAATATTGCTCGTACCTTTTCTATTGTTATTATTTACGCTTCAGAGTTCATCAGCGCGCAGTCTCGAAATCTCTACATTTATTAACGAATTATTTAATGACAAGTAGAGCTCTTTCAGTTTACATAGAAAGTGTCTTTGAGGTTCTTGGCAAAGTATTTGGACCAGTCGATCTCTCAGACCCTGAACCAGAATATTCCCCCTTCCACCCAAGAATGTCTGCAATGCAAAAGATCTAGATGAAGCAAACGTAGATTTCTCCAGGTTCATCATCTCTAAGCGGTATTTCGTCCCTTTTCAGTTCAATTTGACTTAACTGTTTGCATCAGAATTATGTATATTCTGAGAATAAGCTTTAGTCACATATTTCTGCATGAAAACGCCTAAAGCAACAAAATAAGGGGGATGAAGAAGTCGGAATGCATAACAAGTTGACAGTGTGTGGTGTAGAAATTGTGAGTTATTGTCTAATCAATGGATATGTATACAAATATTGTATCTTCTTTTCTTCCAGTGGCAACCCATCTAAAACATCCGGGTCATCATTCTGGGCCATATAGTACATACAGTGCACCTGCTGGCTACGCGAAGAAGAGCGAGTCCGGAAGTAAAGTGCTTCGGGTAACTCCGGATCTAACCGGAAAACATCCCACTGAGAGGCGACGACCTCAGTCTGAGTACGCCTATGTGCCCCGGTCTGTTAAAGGAACTTTGAAACGTAAGTTGGTTGAGAATATCCAGAATATACGAATATGAAGCTTCTTGAGAAGCTGAAAGATATTCATTTCATCTAAACAAACATCAAACTTTAGTTGATTTGTTTTATGTGAAAGAAGTGCAATATTTTATGTATGTTTTTACATTTTGTGTTATATTTGTACATGTATGGTCATTTCACCTTTTAATCTTATCTGAACCAATTTTAACAGCCCCAAAAGTTTTTTATATATTTTCAATTCCAAACAATTTGAGGGACATTACTACATCGGCTCTAAAGTTACGTCCCTTTAACGTGACAGGATTTGGCTGATCTCATTAAAATCTGATCTGAGAAAATCTCAAATAAACGTGAATGGTCAAAACGCACGCTTACGATGCTATATTCATATTAAGTTTATTTTTCTTTCAGGATCTAGGTCACAACAAAATCTAGGCGCTCTGTGAGAGGGATTGAAACATATCGAACATATCTAAATGTTGGACTCTGTTGTGGAGACATTTTGAGCGGGAGACTGTTTGAAACAAGTATTTTGCAAAGAAACCATCTATAAATCGTGATTGTTGTAGTAACGTAATAAGGAGTGTTTACAGCCATGTCTTCACACATGTACAAACCCCAAACTCTGTTATATCTCCTAGGGTTCAGAGAAGACTTTCAGACTATAAGTTTATCAACCATGAACCAGCTAAATACGACTGCGCTTGAAAGGGCTCGCAGTGACGTGCTTGAACGTCGTTTGGTAATGAGACAACATCGTGTACATACATAGCTATACTATATACGCTTCTGAGCCGCATTACGATTATACACATCGTCGTTAGTTTAAGTCTTCCTAATTGATATTATATCAGTCAATCAATCAATCAATCATTTGTATCTATATAATAAGAAACACTTCGTGTCTGATCGTATCTAACAATTTCCTTGATGTCTTTTTCGTCTGAAAATATTCCCTTTTTCTAGTGTATATATTTGTAAAATTAAGTTTAATTTCGGTGTTGAAAGACAGGCTGTCTCAAATTTTAGCGATTAAACCAGGTGGTATGTCTTCCCTCAATTCTCCAAAGAGAACTGAATAAAGATTTGTATTCATCACCAGACTACGAAAAGAGCCGAAATGTGCCGAGTGTATGCTTACGGTTCACTGTTTCAGAAGAGTGCGTGCATGATATCTGCTATTTGTTTTGAAGTGAGCGATACGTAAAAATGAATTGATAGTATGTACATAGTTTGACCCAAATTAAGAAATCACTTATTGAGACTTTCCGGAAAAGTAGGGTTTCCGCTGACTTAGTGTCATCTACGTAGGCCGAATATAGTGACATATCAAACTGATCTCCAATAAATGAATAAATACGTTTGAAACCGTGAAGAGCGTCACAATGTTTCTGGAACTTTCTCCCCTCCCAGCCACGAGGAGAAACGTCATTCTGTGATACAGCTGTCCGCGCGTTCAGCAGAAAAAGATAAAAATCAAAATGTATCGAAGCACCATTTCACATTAACATGTCATGGCTGTACATGATATCCGAGATGAATATATAGCTGCTTCGAGTGTGCCCCGATTGTGCAGAGTGTACACCTCAAGTAGACCTGTACAGCGTATCCAACCTGTGTTATATAAGTAAATGTACGGAAACACGAGATAGAAGTCCGTTATTATCTAACGTACTTCACCCTTATGTTATATATATATACATGTATGTGAATAAAATTTTACATTTATTTTTTCCCCGTGTGTCAACGTTTCTTTGTGTTAAGGTTATTGGATTCATACAAACGTGTGTGAAGGAAGTTACCAAACGTGACAATGAGAGAATGAGTGAGTTGGTTTTATCGCTGTCAAAGTTCCCTTTGTTTCAAATCAACTGGTTATCCGTGAAGATCCGGGTTAGAGTTGGTCTTCAGCAACCCATGCTTGTCTCTCCCGTGAAGATCCGGGTTAGAGTTGGTCTTCAGCAACCCATGCTTGTCTCTCCCGTGAAGATCCGGGTTAGAGTTGGTCTTCAGCAACCCATGCTTGTCTCTCCCGTGAAGATCCGGGTTAGAGTTGGTCTTCAGCAACCCATGCTTGTCTCCCGTGAAGATCCGGGTTAGAGTTGGTCTTCAGCAACCCATGCTTGTCTCTCCCGTGAACATCCGGTTAGAGTTGGTCTTCAGCGACCCATGCTTGTCCCCCGTGAACATCCGGGTTAGAGTTGGTCTTCAGCGACCCATGCTTGTCCCCGTGAACATCCGGGTTAGAGTTGGTCTTCAGCGACCCATGCTTGTCTCCCCGTGAACATCCGGGTTAGAGTTGGTCTTCAGCAGATCCGGGTTGCTTGTCCCCGTGAAGATCCGGTTAGAGTTGGTCTTCAGCAACCCATGCTTGTCTCTCCCGTGAAGATCCGGGTTAGAGTTGGTCTTCAGCATCCCATGCTTGTCTCTCCCCGTGAAGATCCGGGTTAGAGTTGGTCTTCAGCAACCCATGCTTGTCTCTCCCGTGAAGATCCGGGTTAGAGTTGGTCTTCAGCAACCCATGCTTGTCTCTCCCGTGAAGATCCGGGTTAGAGTTGGTCTTCAGCATCCCATGCTTGTCTCTCCCGTGAAGATCCGGGTTAGAGTTGGTCTTCAGCATCCCATGCTTGTCTCTCCCGTGAAGATCCGGGTTAGAGTTGGTCTTCAGCAACCCATGCTTGTCTCTCCCGTGAAGATCCGGGTTAGAGTTGGTCTTCAGCAACCCATGCTTGTCGTAAAAGGCAATCGGGTGATCAGGCTCGCTGACTTGGTTGATACATGTCATCGTATCCCAGTTGCCTAGATCGATGCCCATGCTGTTGATCACTGGGTTGTCTGGTCCAGACTCGATTATTTACAGACCACCGCCATATAGCTGGAATATTGCTGAGTCCGGCGTTCTACAAGAAACCAACCAACCAAATCAGCTGGTACTCTACCACAAGGTATCAGCCAGGAGAATGCTACGACCCGCTTCCTCTCAGCAGCAGCAGCAGCTAACTGTGCCCCAAGCTTGAACATCATCCTAGTATACTGGGGCGGTGGGGTAGCCTAGTGGTTAAAGCGTTTGCTCGTCACGCCGAAGACCCGGGTTCGATTCCCCACATGGGCACAATGTGTGAAGCCCATTTCTGGTGTCCCCCGCCGTGATATTGCTGGAATATTGCTAAAAGCGGCGTAAAACTAAACTCAGTCAGTCAGTCCTAGTATACTTGCTCCAGCTGACCATTATAGTGTGAATAAACGTCAGGAAATAGGTTTGCCACACCTGAACATAAACAAATACAAAATCAGTAAATCAGTGTGTGTGGGGGTGGGGGTGGGGGTGTTTGCAGGGTGCGCACCCCCTTTTGCCCTGAAAGTTTATTAAATGACCATTGAAACTCTGGTGAAAATGAAGTGTGCACCTTTTCTCAATAGTGTGCACAATCCCCACCCCCACACCCCCTTTCTCAAAAAGCTGTATCCGCCCCTGAGGTTAGATAACTATCCCGTGAGAATGCTATTTAGGTTTAACTGTATTAAACTTACGTGTATAAATTACACAGACATATACACAATGAACTTAAGTAAGCACCCCTGTATTTTAGCAATGATAGGTTTTCAACACATACATGAAACATAAAAACCACGATGGAAATACATGGTTCTTTTATTCGTATGACCCTTTGACTCATAAAGAACGACTAAATGATTGGAATCCATGTTGATTTTATGATGATAATTGCTCATTTTAAAGAACACTGATTTTCATACAAAACCATGCCTGTACAAGTATGGCCCTGGAATGTTTAATTTTGAATTCATTGGTGAATGTGAACATTCAAAGTGTCATTTTGCGTGTCTTACACGATTCAAGATCAGCACCAAGTGTAACCTCCAAGTAACTGTATGACAGCCAGCACTCTCCTCCTCATACCCCCTGATCCTCTGAAGGGGCAGTCTACGCCATTCCTCGTGTAAAGCAGCTTCCAATTGGGCCAGGTTCTGTACAGGAGGATCCCTTTGTTGCACACGACGACCAATCATTCCCAGATGTGCTCCAAAGGGTTAAGATCGGACTCATTGAAAAGTGAGATATGTCAAGGGGTGCTTAATTAAGTTCTTTGGGTATATTTATGCTACATGTTTCAGATAGTTATATTTTCCACACATAACACGATACATGCTTTAAAAGAATATCAGATGTAATACATACACACTTAACATGAAGACATAAATAAACAATCCAAATGTTAACTGACCTCGATGTAGTGACCAGACAGACACAAGTGGAAATGGAAGCTGACCCACAAAGACCCTTCTATTAAATATCAGGGGCTGGGGCTGAGACAAGACAATAGAGACTGAACGAAAACAATAGTGTATGCTGGCGCGAAGGTGACTACTACTGTAAAGGTGTACAAGGTTAGATTTGAGTGGTTAAGGTCGGACAAGGCTTAGTTATTAAAATAGAAATACACTTGCTAATATATATACATAATTACATACTCCTACATCCATTGTTTGTAGACCAGTTTAACAGGGATACCCTGTCGAGGGGCGGGCCTCTAAACTCCAGTTACATCGTGTGTTTTCGATGAAGTTAAAGTGTCAGTACGACCACCGTGACATTATAGCACGACACTACCGATGATGTCTACATCACGTCAGGAGTACCTCAGGGTGATGGAAACTGCTACCCCACCGTGTGCTTCGTGTGGATTTTATCACCATATCTCACACCATGTGACTGCCAACTGTTCACGTAGATCAGGGCTTATGTCATAATATGCGGCAGTTAAAGTTCACAAGTGTTTAGATGGTTAGATTTACCTGAACATTGAATAACGCTGATTATCTGTACGGTGTCACAATGTCCATGTAGTGTCGTCTCAGTTACCACACGTTAACATTTACACCATTCTGTCACAGTAGTAGCTGTTCCGTTAAAGATGCATAAGTCTCCAAACAGATCAGAGCAGACAGTCGAGAGTGGGCTGTGTTGCCAATATTGGGGAGTGAATATACAGTTACATACAGGGTCAACACACATAGACATCAGGTTACTTGTATGCATCCCTTATCCTCTTTGTAGTGTTCCAGATTAGAATACGCGCTCCTCTACATCCAACCTATACGCTCCTCTACATCCAACCTATACGCTCCTCTACATCCAACCTATGCGCTCCTCTACATCCAACCTATGTGCTTGTCTACTTTCAACATATGTGCTCCTCTATGTCCAACACAGCTAATTCCAACCAATGAGCTTGTCTACATCTAACCTATGAACTTGTCTATATCCAATCTATGTGCTTGTCTACATCCAATCCACCTGTGCTTGTCTACATCCAACGCATGTGCTTGTCTACATCCAACCCATGTGCTTGTCTACATCCAACCCATGTGCTTGTCTACTTCCAACCTATGTGCTTGCCTACATCCAACCTGTACTGTTTTTGATGACCGATGGGTAATCAGGGCACTTGATTTCAATAAATCAAACGTGCATTGGAATTCACGTGCTTTTATTCCCGTGTTTTTTTACATTCTCCAGGGAGGTAACTCCCTTGCTCTTAATTGTTTTTGCAAACCGTTAAACAATAATACCGCTATTAGCGTTATAACACTACACAACCCATGTGCTTGTTTACTTCCAACCCATGTGCATGTCTACATCCAACCCATGTGCTTGTCTGCATCCAACCTATGTGCTTGTCTACATCCAACCCATGTGCTTGTCTACATCCAACCCATGTGCTTGTCTACATCCAACCTATGTGCTTGTCTACTTCCAACCCATGAACTTGTCTACATCCAACCCATGTGCTTGTCTACATCCAACCCATGTGCTTGTCTACATCCAACCCATGTGCTTGTTTACTTCCAACCCATGTGCTAGTCTACATCCAACCCATGTGCTTGTCTACATCCAAACCTATGTGCTTGTCTACATCCAACCTATGTGCTTGTCTACTTCCAACCCATGTGCTTGTCTACATCCAACCCATGTGCTTGTCTACATCCAACCCATGTGCTTGTCTACATCCAACCCATGTGCTTGTCTACTTCCAACCTATATGCTTGCCTACATCCAACCTGTACTGTTTTTGATGACCGATGGGTAATCAGGGCACTTGATTTCAATAAATCAAACGTGCATTGGAATTCACGTGCTTTTATTCCCGTGTTTTTTTACATTCTCCAGGGAGGTAACTCCCTTGCTCTTAATTGTTTTTGCAAACCGTTAAAAACAATAATACCGCTAATAGCGTTATAACACTACACAACCTATGTGCTTGTTTACTTCCAACCCATGTGCATGTCTACATCCAACCTATGTGCTTGTCTACATCCAACCGATGTGCTTGTCTACATCCAATGTGCCTCAATATGTGCTTGTCTACATCCAACCCATGCTTGTCTATCCAAACCCATGTGCTTGTCTACATCCAACCCATGTGCTTGTCTACATCCAACCCATGTGCTTGTTCACATCCAACCCATGTGCTGTGCTTCTACATCCAACCCATGTGCTTGTCTGCATCCAACCCATGCTTGCTTGTTCACATCCAACCCATGTGCTTGTCTACATCCAACCCATGTGCTTGTCTACATCCAACCCATATGTGCTTGTCTACATCCAACCCATGTGCTTGTCTACATCCAACCCATGTGCTTGTGTTTACTTCCAACCCATATGCTTGTTCACATCCAACCCATGTGCTTGTCTACATCCAACCCATGTGCTTG